AAAAAGGCTTACATACAAATCACAAACTAATTATAATTAATTAATTATTCATGATTATTATTTATTATAGTTTATTATTATATTAAATATTACATGGTATGATGATTATATGATTATATTCAAATGTTCAAATACGTTCGCCCAACGATTGGTATAAATTTATAATGTGTAAAACCATAGATAAAAAATATACCATCTATATTTTTTTTATTCAGTTTCACATTTTTTAATAGTATTTAATTTATGATAACATTTCATTTGTACAACTGTCCTGTATCACAATTTATGACCTTAGATAATATTATGTAGATAAGTAAATTTGTTTTTAAAGTTCGCCCGTACAAATACATACGATAGGTAGTTTAATTACGACAGTTGAACAAAAAGAAAAATTTCATCAAAGTTGTTGGAAAAAAAAATGTTCTATTTAATAGAGAACAAGCCAAATCGAAAGTATTGCTGATAACCAAACTAATCAAGGAAAAAACATGCAAATGCATTTTTAAATTCTAGCCTTAATCATTGCTGTAAAAACTGGGTATTGCACACAGGCCTCGGAATTAGTTCTAAATTATGGAGCCTCAAAAGGTCCAATGATCCGTATGAAAATATCAATATATAATGTAATTTAATGAAACCAATGTTATTTACTATTTTTAACAATATCCCTTGTCCTGCATCCTTCTAGGTTATTGCACTATGTTTCCATGTTTAAGTCGTATTATAAATATAAAAAAAAAATGATTAAATATATTTGTTTTTATAATAATTATTTTACTATATACCACTTCAAAATGCACATAATAATATTGATGCCACAGAATAATTATATTCAGCGATTAATAACAATTCTGCGATAAATCATAAATTTGTTTTATAGTATTTATTTATTTTCTTTTGTTCGACATGTTTTTAATGATTACATGTTCTAGTAAACTAGTAGTTTTTGCCCAATAGCATACCATAATTATTATATTTAATCGTATAGGCAGATGATAACTATGATTCATTTTTAACAGTCCTTTGATATAGTAGCTTACAGTAAATTATTTATTTCAATAATAAATTATTATATTAATATCGTATTTCATCCAAACTCTTTTAAATTTAAAAAATCACAACTCCTCTAAAAATTTAATTTTTTTAGTTGCTATTGAAAAATGTATAATGAGCCCTCAACATTTTGATTTACACACAGACCTCGTGTAGTCTGGTGACGGCATTAGCCTTAGTCATCATCGACGTGCTATTATAGCTATTCGGCGTACGGAACGAACAACTGATGTCCCTACCATGAAAATAATAGATTAGGTATAGAATAATTTTAGTGGTTCACAAACTGCGTTACGTAGAGCTCTGGTGCTCCACGAGAGTAATCTAATGGCTCCACGGACACATCTGAATTAAATCATACTCAGATATTATAACTCTATTATGACGTTGATTTGTAAATTGTTAACAAACCCGTACCACATTGTAAAGACACACGCGTTACTACAAAGGAACAATTTAAAAAGCAAATCATGATTACATAATTTTTTTATAAGCTATGGTGTGAAAATTAAATTTCTGGTGTTTTTGAGGATCCGTTGTTTTTTTCACATATATTAAGAACTCCGCGACCGTATGAGTTTGAGGACCGCTGTGACAATACAACCCAAAACCAAGGCCGTAAACAGATATATTTTTCCCCTAAACGGCGTCGATGTTTAGACAACCGAATTCAACCTTGGACAAATTTCACAGGGAGTGGGATGTGGTGAGATAATCATTTCCCAGGTAAACTTTCGAAGATGCACGAATTGCGAAGAGGTCACAAACTCGCAAAGACTTAACTCGAGGGTATACAAGAGCTCCGAGTAGCCCTTTCAGAGGGGGAAGAGTCTCTAGGTCAAAAATGATCCGGGCCAACCGAAGACCAAACAATTAGGAGGCATCCTCACTACTTATCTCACACTTTTAATCAAAACTCATAATGACGGGTGACGTGCAAAACATTTCATTACTCACGGGAAAAGCTACCTTAAATCACGATGTAGACAACAGCTCCATAGACTGTCATAAAACATTAAAATTAGGTTCTTTATATTTATTTAAAAATTAATATATGCATAAATTGCGTTTTTCATTTTTTTTCAATTAAATGTTTTGCTTGCAATAAAAATGTTACACAACATAATAATAGCATATTATGCTATTTATATACATTTAAACTACATCACCACTTGTTCATAAAATCATAATTTCCATCCAACTTCTAAGAATATTAATAGCGATTATAAACTTACTGATAGACTACAATAATGTTGGCGAATAAATATAAATATAATAGTAAATATGCGGAAATGTTCGACCTTCAACGGAAAGATAATTTAACTTAGATAAGAATTTTACCAGAATATATCCATAAATGTTGATAATATTATTTCTAAGTTTGGAAAAATTAAAATTTATAAAGTTCTAATTTTAATTATTAATTTTCTTTCATTATTTTGTAATTGTATATTATCTTTTTGTCCTTTCGAAAAAATGACCCCCTCCCCACCTAATTTGATTTCTAGATCCGTGACTGGTGATGAAGCGAGAGGAAACGAAAGCAGTAAGAGTGGTATGAATATGAACTTTGAAAGGAAACGAGGAAGAGGAAGACCGAAAAAGAGACGGTTGGATACGATTATACGATTGAGAATGATACGGGGGCCAAGTATTGGTGCACAAGTAGGGGATGTAGAAAATCGTGAAGAGTGGATGTTGAGGACCAGGGTGTCCGACCCCACAAATAGTTGGGAAAATAAGAAGAAGGAGAAAGGTCCACTCAGATCCGGATTAAAAATTTGTGGGCCTCTAGGTAATTAAATTTTTTGACCCTACAAAATTATTTTTTACTTACATATTTAACATTACTATCCAATAATTAAAACAAACAGCTTTAATACTAACCAACTGTTATTAATAAATAAAATCATGTTTATTAAATTATTTTATCTGCAAGAAAAATTAATTATTATATTATTCTGATTTTTTTTTCAAAATAATTTTATTATTATTACTGCACATAACACTTACAACTTAACACGTAATTATATTTCATAATGACTTTTATGCCGTAAATTCGTAAATAAAATACAAATGTTATTAAATGAAAAAAAAACTATAGTTTTCCGTTTTTATAGGACCCCTTAAATGAGCGAGGCCCTAAGGCGGGCGCCCACTCCGCCTAATGGGTAATCCGGCACCGGGTCCACTCGCACGGTTGTGTCTCTGAATCTCCGCGAACGGTCCGACGACGTAGAGACGTAGCTAGACAGGAAAGGGCTCCGGTACAATAAAAATAATTGGGCCTCTCTCTCTTATCTTAACATAAAAATTCAAAATATACATGTCATATTGTACTTTCAAACGTGAATACTTACCGTGAGACGACAAACGAAAATATTTAACGGATAATTATACAAAGCAAAAAGGAATTGCAGTTCAATACTATAAAAAACGTATTGCATATCGCGTGAATTATTATTCCACTTAAATACTCGATCGTAAATTGATTTTGAACAAATAATTGCCGCGTTCTATTCAATTTTAATATCAAATATTTAGATTGGTAATTATTAAATTTTAATAATTACTGTTCTAGATATTCCATAATTAATGATTTCGGTATTCTGCATTTACTGTCGTGGTTTTCAGTCTCGTTTTCTATAACAGTGATTCCCATAGTGTGTGCCGCGGAACCTAAGTGTTCCGTGAGACAATCTTAAGGGTTCCGCAAGGTGTAATCGAATATTGAGAACGGTAAACGCAGTTTATCTTTAAGACATTTTTCGGAGGAGTATAGGTTTTACAATAAATAAATGAAAAATCGAGATCAAGTTGGAGTTGAAGACGTGGGGGGTTCCGCGAGACGAAAAATATTTCCTAAGAGTTCCGCGGTGGTAAAAGTTTGGGAACCGCTGCAAAGTACACTATTTTCCCCGATGGTAAAATTAATGATCGAACCATCAAACCGCCGCGTATAATTTAGGACACGCATGCCCATCAACGTTCCAAACCGTTCGGAGGGAGCGCGTAGTCTCAGAACCGTCCAAGGGTTCCGAGGCCCTGCCCCGTTTCGCCCTACGGTAGGTTACGCCACTGCGCCCATGGGGGAGACACACACACACGCGCGCGCGCAACAACACGTCTTCGGGCTCGCGCGCCGAACGGCGGCGTCGACGACGCGGTGCAACGACAATAACGTTACTCGGGCCGTGCGCGCGTGCGCGCGACCGCGCGGCGACGGTGCAACGTCCAGTGCGCGCGCGCGCACGCGCATTTCGCACCGCAGCTGTACGTGTTCGTCCGCGTCCGTCGTCCGCGCCGCGTCCGTGTGTCCGCGTCCGTCCGTCCGTCCGCGCTGCAACGCGACACCCAGACACCGTTTTCCGCTCGTCCGTGCCCCCGCGTGTACGTTGCCGCGCCGCCGCCGCCGCCGCCGCCGTCCGTGTGTGCGTGGCCCGCCAGCGTCCGTTTCCGTGTGCGTGCGCGCGTGTCCGGCACCGCGTACGGGCATATACGTACGTAGCCACCGACCGTGTCGTATCGCGTTCCACGGTATGCGCCGCGACGGCCAGTGAAGACCGACATCGCGCATCGTGTACCGGCAATGCCCGCGGTGGTACCGACAGTAACGACGGTCACGGCGCTGTTGTCGTTTTGACGGGGGGGGGAAAAAAAAAAAAAAACCGAGACCGCTGCGCCCTACTTGCGCGCCACCGCCGTGTCCGCCTCCTCCGTTTCGCGCGTCCGCGACATGATGAACTCCGGCCGCTGTTCCCGCAACCGTCCGCAACCGTAGTCGTCGGCCACCGTCCACCACCACCACCGCTACCCTCGGCCACCCGGAATCCGTCCCGTGTCCCGTTTCGGCACCGACCGCTGGACGTACGCTGCGCGCGCGACGGCCTGCTGACGACCCGTTTTCCCTGTCGTCCCACTTTGATGCTCGGCACGTCGGAAGCACAATGATGAACAGCGGTGTGCCCAAGAAACGCACCAACTTGCGTATCAAAGCTTTCCCGGTGAGTAATGCCCGCCAAGTCGGTGTTTGTCTGCTGTTCCGCCGACCCTCCGTACTCTATGTGGTTTTTTTTTTCCTCCATACTTTACATCATTGTGTTTCTCAATACCGTAATGCGAGGTTCCCAAACTTCTCTCGGTGTTACCATGTAAAAATTATGTGTGTTATATAATCGATACGTTAAACTATATTGTATGTACCCGATTAATTATACGCAATAGGTTTTATACTATAGACATAGAGTATAGTCTGTTTTATTACTCACAGTGCTATATTTTTCATGAAGGCGTTTAAAAATAAATATATATTTCAAATACCCTGGTTGGGAACCTTTGCCTTAATTCCATAGCTTCTTTCGTTTGTTCTTGTCCTTCTTCCTTGAAAATTATCAAATAATACACTCTATCTGAAAATAAATTTGTTCTCGGTTTTCTATCCGCTTATGAATTCTACTTATCTGTATCTTCTCTTATCAAATCTGATCTACTGTTTTTTTTTTTTTTTTTTCATAACAATGTACCATTAAATAACATAGATAGATTAATAAAGGATTTTCTTTAGATACTACAACAGTTTTACATTAAATAATTTTTTAAACAAAGATTAATCTTCTATTTAGCTCGTCTGCTGATATTTAATCCTTAATAAGTAGGTAAACATAAATATTTAATATTATTAATAATTTATTAAAAAATGTATTAGGCATGCATTCATTATACTACATAATACAGCTAAGTAACTTTAATACAAGAACAAAAACAAATTAAAAATAAAAATACTTTAACACAAATATTTAAACATTTTGAAAGGTTAAATTGTTTAAAATAAATATTGCACTAACTGTAGAAACATGTCATTAATAGTTACAGCCCCTTATAGTTGTTGTTATTGAACGAGTTGTAACTGATATTTAGACAAACACGTTTATGTTTTAAAATATAATATTAAATATCTCGAAAGTAAACAAAAACTATAAACAGAGATATTTCTATAAATTGCAATTTCCCTTGTAGTTAGTTGTAACATTTACATTTTTTATAAATTTATAATCTGTAACACTGAATAGTTATTGAATGTATCATGTTATTGTTACCCTTAGATTAAATAAAGCAGTTTTACCAGTTAACATTTTAATCCATTTGATACATTTAATAAAGTAGTTCTAGTAATGTTAGAGACTCTGAAACCAATAGAATAATGTAGAACATATTTTGAGTGTCAATAGTTTCTATTAATTCATTGATTGTTGTAAGTAATGGTATGAAAAATATATCAGTTTTTTATTATATTATAAATTTAGTTTTAAGTATGTATATTAAAACTATAAACACTAACAGTGTTTCTTATAACTACTTATAAATTAAATACTTATGTACTTATGAATTATTATATACTTATGAATTAAATTATCTTATTTAATGTTATTATATGATATATTTACCATAAATTAATTTTTATTAAGTATAACACATTAGAATACATATGATTTAACATTTTTTTTAATTTCAATGTTTAATACATTTTATTATTATAAAATAATTTATATTGTTATACATTCATATGATTAAGTAGGTAATCTTTAATATTATACATTTTGTACAGCTACCAAATAGAAATGTATTAGAAGTTTGATTCATTTAAATACCTACTTATTAAGCAGCATAATTTAATCTATTCAACTTATTAAAATAAATATCTCTCAATCACAATTAAGGTATATTGAAAGTTTGCAATTACTTATATAAAGGAAAATGCTGGAAAAAAAAAATATGTAGGAAGCACCTACCTAAAATTTATTTTATTTATTATTTATTTTGAAATAAAATTAGATTTTTGGAAATTTATCAATATTTTATGAAACTAACATAAATTATTATTAATTTAATGAAAATGATCAAAAAATATGTATATTAGCTACATTTAAATAATTTTACTTTTAAAGATAAAATTGATATGGAACAATAATTAATAATACATATTTCACCTTACCATACGATAATAATAATACTCATAGACATTAAATATATTTTTTGCCCACCCTTGTTACTAACCAATCTTATTTATAATTTATAATATTATTTACTCTGGCATTTGCTTATTTTTCTAGTAATCCATAAATATATTCAACTTTTTCCTAGACAAAATAATTTTCTTTTATCAAAATATTACTAAAACAATTACTCATTAATGTATGATGATATTTCATTTATTAAAATTGTGTATTTCTACATTTTTCATAACCTTTAACTTTACATGTGTTAACATCAATAATTATTGTGCTTTATTACTATAAATAGTTCTTAAGTTATAAATACTTAAGAATTATGATGCATATTTATTTATTTTTATATTTTTGAATGGTAAAAGTTATTCTACAAATCAATGTATCTTCATAACTAATATCAGTCAGTTCTTCTACAAAATATAATTATTAATAAATACTCACTAAGTACCTTATATAATTATAGGAATAATAGCATTAATAAGGAAAACAACAATTGTTAAAGTTACTTTTACAATTACAAATCACAAAATTACATATTTAAAATATGTTTTATCTTAGTCTGCAAATTTTTTGATAATTGAATCTGAATATATAGCTTACATTATTTCTAGCGTTTAAAAAATATAAAACTCTTGTGTTTAAATAATCTTGTAAGAAAAAATAGTGTATTATTATATCAATATATTTTTAATAATGTATGATATTATAAATAATTTAAGTGTATTCCATAAATATTCCTGCTGTAGTGATTATCTGAATCCTGAGCTAAAATATGTATCTGTATCAGCCAAATAAAATTGCACAAAAAAATTAATTTTACTTATCTGTTAAATAATTTATGTTATTAGATGACGATGGATGAAAAATTAATTGATAGCATTTGGTTGTTGTTGAAAAATGCTATCCAAGAAATTCAAAAGAAAAATAATTCTGGTCTTAGTTTTGAAGAGCTGTATCGAAACGCTTATACCATGGTACTGTTAAAACATGGTGAACGATTGTATACTGGAATGAAAGAAGCAGTAATAAATCATTTGGAAAACAAGGTAAAATCATTTGACATTTTATTTTACAGTAAAATTTTAAATTAATTATTATTTATAGGTTAGAGAAGATGTTTTAAAAGCGTTAAACAACAATTTTCTACATGTACTGAATGTTGCCTGGAACGATCATCAAACATCCATGGTAATGATTCGTGATATATTAATGTACATGGATCGTGTTTATGTTAAACATAATGAAGTTGATAATGTTTATAACTTGGGTCTCATTTTGTTTCGTGATCTAGTGAGTTAAATTCAAACCATTATTTAATTTTTTGTTAATATACAGCCAGTAACTTTTTACATTCCTAAAATAAATGTGTGTGTTAAAAAATTGTATTTGTTTTATTAGATTGTTCGATATGGCTATATTCGTGATCACCTTCGAATGACTCTGTTGGGTTTGATAAAACTGGAAAGAAAAGGTGAAGTAGTTGATCGAATATCAATTAAAAATGCTTGTCAAATGTTAATGATTCTTGGGATTACTGGTCGCGTTGTTTATGAAGAAGATTTTGAAAAACCATTTTTAGAACAATCTGCTGAATTTTATAAGGTATAAATTTCAATGTTGTCAAAAATATTATTGGTATTATAACTAAAATTTTTATTTTTATTTGTTACTTATTTATAGATGGAAAGCCAAAAATTTTTAGATGAAAATAGCGCATGTATTTATATTAGGAAAGTTGAATCTAGAATTGTAGAAGAAGCAGATCGAGCAAAGCATTACCTAGATGAATCGACTGAATGTCGAATTGTGGAAGTTATTGAAGAAGAACTAATTAAAAAAAATATGAAAACCATAGTTGAGGTTAATAAAATATTTTTAAATTTTTTATAATCTCTCAATTGCAATCGTTACTATTATTTTTATTTTTTATCAATAAAATTTACATACATTTATATTATAGATGGAAAATTCTGGTGTTGTATACATGTTAAAAAACAATAAAAACGATGACTTGGCATGTATGTATAAATTGTTGACTCGTGTTAATGAAGGCTTAAAAACTATGTCCGATTGTGTTAGTCAGTATTTACGCGAATTAGGAAAATCCCTTGTACAAGAAGAAGATGTAAATACCAATGCGGTGAATTATATACAAGTAATTACCATTTATTCAATTTTTTCAATTTTAATATAATTTTATTAAATAATTGTGTTGTTTATATATATATTTCTTTTTAAACATTTTTTCAGAGTTTGCTGGATTTGAAAGATAGATTTAACTATTTTTTAGTTAATTCTTTTAACAATGATAAGATGTTTAAACAAATGATAGCTGCAGATTTTGAATATTTTTTCAATATTAATCCTAAGTCACCTGAATATTTATCATTATTTGTTGATGAAAAATTAAAAAAAGGAGTGCGAGGGGTAATTATATAAATAATTATTTATTTGAAAGAATTTATTTATTGATTTCATCAATGTTGATATTAATTTTTTGATCATATATTATGTTAGCTTGTTTAGAATAGCAGTAAGCCAATTACTATTATCATACCAAAATTGATTTATTCGTTCAATTAGCAACTTCATTTCTTTTAAATATATGATTCATGACATTTTCAATTTTTAAATATTAATTTAAATATCTATAGCACTTACCTGTTTTCTTTGTATGTACATGTACTAATTTTTGATTTTTTAAATATTTCAGCTAACCGAAAATGATGTAGAGTTAGTCTTAGACAAAGCAATGGTGATTTTTCGTTTTCTTCAAGAAAAAGATGTTTTTGAAAGATACTATAAGCAACATCTAGCCAAGAGATTACTTTTAAATAAGTCAGTCAGCAATGACAATGAAAAAAATATGATCTCAAAATTGAAGGTAATTTTAATTCGTTTTTCTCATAATCTTAAATAACAATGTAATTTTAATATAGACGGAGTGTGGTTGTCAATTCACTTCAAAACTAGAAGGAATGTTTAAGGATATGTCCATATCTAACACTATAATGGAAGAATTTAAAGAATATGTTGCTAAATCAAATAATGTAAGAATAAATACAGTCATATCGAAACATATAATTAAATACTAAATTTTTCAAATAAAATATTTTAATTTTAGCGTGTCTTACATTCATTGGATCTTATTGTGAGAGTATTAACTACTGGATTCTGGCCTACTCATGCAATAACAAAGTGCAATGTACCATTAGTTCCTAGGAGTGCATTTGATGAATTCCGACTGTAAGTATTAATGAAAATAAAATAATATTTTTAATGTGATAAACTCAGGATAAAATATTTTTTTTCAAATAGTTTTAATTTATATTAAAAATTATCTAAATAAATATGTTCATATATTGTTATTTGTAATAATATTTAATTGAATAATTTTTTATGTTAAAGATTTTATTTGGGAAAACACAATGGAAGACAACTTACATTACAACCTCAACTTGGTTCAGCTGATTTGAATGCTATATTTTATGGTACACGACGACCAGATAATGAACTATCAACAAATTTAACTTCAGCTGCTAACACTCACCGTCAATCTACAGAGCGAAAGCATATTATTCAAGTATCAACCTATCAGATGTGTGTTCTTTTATTGTTCAATACTCATGAAAAATTAACTTTTGAAGTAAATTATATTATTTAATATTTTCAACATAAGATATATTACAAAATTGTTTCTATTATTATTATTACTATTATTGTTTCAGGATATTCAAAGTGAAACTGATATTCCTGAAAAAGATTTAATTAGAGCTTTACAATCATTGGCATTAGGGAAACCTTCACAACGTGTACTCTTAAAAACTCCTAAGTGTAAAGAAATAGAGTTAAATCATGAATTTTGTGTCAATGAATTTTTTACATCCAAATTACACAGGTCTGAGACAAGATATTTATTTTTACTACTGTTAATTTGAGTTACTAAATATATTTTCATTTCAGGGTTAAAATCCAAACTGTTGCTGCTAAAGGGGAAACTGAACCAGAGAGAAAAGAAACTAGGACTAAAGTGGATGAGGATCGTAAACATGAAATAGAAGCAGCTATTGTTCGTGTGATGAAATCTCGGAAAAAGATGACTGTAAGTAGAGTACCAAATGAATTATTTTACATAACATTTTAATTTCTAAAATTTTTTTTGTTTAAAGCACAACACTCTAGTATTAGAAGTCGTAGAACAACTCAGAATTCGATTCTTACCATCACCAGTTATCATCAAAAAAAGAATTGAAGGCCTTATTGAAAGAGAATACCTTGCAAGATCACCAGAAGATAGACGTACCTATGTCTATGTTGCTTAAGTTAAATAGCAATAAATTTGTGATTAAAAATGTATATAAAGTCTTCCTATATTAAGATTAACATCTGATTTTTTTAATTAGGCACCCATTGTTCCTATATCTGTTTAAAAAAATAGGACTAAAGAAACAAATACTTAAGAGATTCCTAAAGTATGAATTTTAAAATTGTTTAATCTATGTGCAATTTGTTATTTATATATTTCTTAAAGTTAGAATATTTGTAAATAATTTGTTATGATTGTAAATAATGTATAGGTGCTACATGGTATATAAATTGACTTAGTGATTAGTGTTGACTCTATATACAAAAAAAAAAAACAAAAAAAAAAAAAAACAAAAAAAAGAATTAGTATATCATAAGTTAAATGTGATAATGAGCGTCTATGTCATATGGTTGCTCTACCTTTTATTGTAAGCATATAATGCATTTATTCCTTTGTAAATAATCATAAACTTAACTCGAATTGTTGTTTATTTCAGGACAATCTTATTACACATATAATAAATAAATATATGTGTTTTTCAAACTGAAATATAACCAATGTTAATATTGTAAAAAATTATTAATAAATTATAATTTTTACTCTTACAATATTATAATATATATAATAATATTGTTTTGTAAACCATATTTTGTTTTTGTTATGCCCGTATTTATATAAATTAAACATAAAATAATTGTAAAGTAACTTTTCTTACGAACCATTTAATTTTTATGCATAAGTTTTCTATATTCTTTTATTGGAGTAAATATTTAAATATTGGCACTTTTATTTACCCGTGTCTAATTAAAACCATAATGTATTTGTTCTATTGTTTTTCATAAACAAAAATTTTAATTGTGATAATTACACCAAATTGGCTTTAAAGTTAAATATACTTTTATTTGTAGTCCATAAATAATGTTGGCTTAAATTGTTTTAGTGTTATTTTCAAACCAAGTAGCACCTTAATTAGAGTTTCATAAATCAATTAATCTGATAAAGCTTTCATTAAATGCAACAAACTGATTATAAGTGTTTTTCTTTTTTTTTTTTATTTTTTAGTTTTATTCAATATTATTTGATTTATGTACCTATATTTTATTTTTGTGCGCTTGAGATCTATTTATTAAAATAATAAATCGCGTTTGTATAAATTTAAAAAAAGTTTCCATTATAGTGTTACGTGTTTTTATTGATAACATACTTAAAGACTTATGTCTTACATAAGTTATGATTTAAATTTCCAAACAATTTCAATTTCATTGCTAAATGCAATTACATTTATCATATATGGAATTGATTAAAATCTTAAAAAAAAATTTTAAAATACATTAATGTTTAATGAAACATTAATTTAGTAAATTGCAGTAAAAAGTGAAAATAACACCGGTGTACTGTAATACTGTAGATACATCAAAATATTATACGCTATAATTATGAAAATAAAATGTATTACTAGTGTTTTTTGACAAAATGGTGTATTTTCGTTGTAAAATATTTCCAATTATATTATAATTTGCTCTATTTTCACAAAATGATTATGTGGTATAATAATATTAAGATAATTAGTTGTGTCTTAAATTTAGCTGTACCACATTAATCACTATAGTTTGGACTTATTGATTAATAAAAAAAATAATTTTAATACTTTTTATACACACAATATTCTGAGTCACTTTTCAAAAAAGTTCAATTTGTTTCATTTTAAATTGATTATTTTCGCTTTAAACTTGTTATTCAAACATGCAATGTTCAGAATTTTTTAACATAATTTTTTTTTTTTGTTTTTCTGCCTTAAGCACACATATTGAATTTGTATCTGTTGTGTACTATCACTATTTAGATGAAATCTTTCATAGACATTTAATATTATGACACCTGATTAGAGTATTATGGCGTATATTAATTTGATATTTAATAAAACGCAATTGATTGAAGTTGTGACATTTGTAGTATAAGTATTAATTGATAAAATTATTTTTTCATCTAAATTAAAATTCTTAGTTTTTTGAAAGTGGTAAGTGGTTCAGTTTTTTATTTTTTCAAATCAATGTCATATATATTTATTCGACAATGTTCTTATAAAAACTTTTTGGCAATCAACTGAGAAAATATTCTGTATCTGAACAAATTACAGTCTCTTCGATTTACTCACACGGCAATCAATACAATACAATTAAATATGATAGTAATAAATTTCATTAATATTTTAACCATAACTTTTTACTATTAGTAAGTAGTTTAAAGTAATTTTGAATACGATCTAAATCGAATTAAAATCATCTGTTTACCCTAAAAATTATATTTGATATACCTCATATATTACAATAGAAACAATTCAAGTCGCTAACCTAGGGACCAGTAAAAAATAATGCATTAAGCGGAAATCATATTACGTGGGAGGAGAATTAGACAAAAAAGTGTACGTTACACTGTAAATTAATTATATTTTAAAAATGATCGATTTTCATATGTTTCACGTTTTCGATATTTTCAGTAAGAAGTGTCTTCAAATTTTTTTTTTTTTTTTAGATCCATTAAAATGTCATCTATATAGTCAAAATATGCAACTGTTCTTCTTAACTCATTTGCATAATCAAGCAGTGATGGCTCGTGTGGTTCACATATGGTGGTGCTCAAATAATTAGTAAGACACCTATGTAGGCGAGTAAAAAATTATTAATTACGTCACAAGTGTAGAGATACATATAAGTTAAAATTAAATTATATGATATACCGTATTAATTAAAAAAAAAATTTGTAAACTCATCGTCATAGTAAAATAAGAATAAATTAGAAAAAAATAGATTGTTACGTAAATAGTATAATATTATATCGCTATATACTAATATGATTATTAGAAATTAAATATTTAAACTAAATAATTTTATACATTTAAATTATACACGCACATAATTTATATAGAAAGCGTCTTGAACTCAAATCATATTATCCAGAGCCAATTACATGTTCAACATTATCAAAATCAAATGACTAATAAAAATTAACTTACCAAGTGGATTATCATCCAGTGCTGGTTGCACTATGTACACTATACATTGTTTAATATATATATATATGTGTGTGATAGTTAATAATAATAATAATAATGAAAAAAGTGTTATGCCAGTAAATCTATAATTCTATTTGACAATGTACATTAAATAAAATGTTTTGAAAATTAGTTTATTAGAAATAAAGTTACATTTACATTTTCAAATGGTATCCATTGACTGCAGTAAGAATCCATGTACATATAATCGGTCTAAATTTGAGAGCAATGACAAATCAATGAAACTCGGTGAAACTGTTACGTATATAATATGGACATGTAAATGTTAAATGCCATGAAGATGAAAAGGAAATATAACTTACTTTAACTGCAAATATTATTTCTTTATTTAAATATTATTATTAACACAGCATAATTTTAATAACCAAACAGTACCACGAAAATGTATATTTAAAGAATTCTTAATGCTAATGAAACACATGTACCTGCACTAAAAATACTTTACAAATTATGTTACAAATTGTCATTAAAATGAAAGAGACCAAATTGTGTGATATTTTATTTTATTTTAAAATATATAAATATTTTACTATTATACATCACATATAAAACTTATATACAACCCTTCATTATTTAAGATATAGAAAAAATATATATTTCATGCCATAAATAATGGTCTTCTTTAATTTTTTTTAATACTTAATTAAATTCTTAAACAATTAACTATTTACTGCTATTTTGTGTTTATCAGATATAAAACAACTGTTTACAAGAGTTAAAATTCATTATAAATAGGTTCATTAAAATATATTTTAACACAGCAAAAAAAAATCTATACTATTATAATGTTGGCCGATACAAAGATTAAAATGACCTAAAAAGCACAATAATATTAACTTTATTATTCATAAAATATTTTTGATTGTAATAACAAAATTACATTATTTTTCAAATTATACATCAGTGTTATATAATAAATTACAGTAAAATTATATCTTATTTTTTTAAATAATTTTCTTTATTATTTATAACAATACTTGTAATTATAATTTTTAAATATTCATAAATATATGTATAATTTACAATTGAAATATTACAAAAATATTCAACAAAAAAGCATGAGAGATATATATAAATATAAAACAAAATGGCTTTAAATATTTCTTATCATTTAAATCCAGTAAGCTTTAACAAATTTGTTTATAAATAATACCATAATTAAAATACACATTTTTTTACAGAGTAAACAATTAAATTGTTGAATGTTTAATCACTCAACTTGATAACATTAATTCATGTCAAAACTTATGTTGAAAATTATCCTAATTACAATTAAAAACAAAGTAATTTGATTTCATGCAAATTTATTTTTAAATTAGAAATGAAATAAAACTAATAGATAAACACTTACAAAATTGCAACCCCATTAAATTAATGGTTTATTGAATTGCAATTATAAACATTGTGGAAGTCAAGTGTTAACAAATATTATTACATAAAAATATTTTTTGTTAAATAATTTTTTGTATACTAAAATATTTTAAAAGAATAAAATATTTGTTGATTATAACAGTATAAATAGTATTAATTTTAAATTATTTAATGTAATATTTCCACATTTATAATGTAACTACAATAAAATAAACTATACAATTTAATACTTATTCATAATTAGCTACAATAACCATTAAGTAAACTCCAACAAGCAAAGCTATGATTTCTTTAACAGACTGTTTAAAATTGGAATCTTCTAAAAGACTAGGTATGACATTTACAGTTGCTATATAAATGAAACCACCGGCTGTGAATGGTAACACCCAAGAATTAGCAGCTTCACCTAAAAATAAGTATAATAAAAATTAATATTATAAATATACATTAATACTAGTACATATTTAAAATATATAAATATGTATACTGATATATGTGGTGTGTAAATATAAAAATATATTAAAATTATCAAAATAATTTAATAATTCATTTAAATATTCATTAAAATTTGCAGTCATTTTTAAATAATAAAATTAGTTTTAACCACATTTAACAGACAAAAGTTGTAAATGGTTCATGTAAAATCAGTAAAATAAATACAAAAACGAAGACTGGTACAAATTTATTTTACAAACAATCCAAAATATATTATCTTCATCAATTTACATTAGTATTTTAAATTTTTTAATCCTTGAAATTTATAGATTACTTAAAAATAAAAAACGAAAAATATACGAAAATATGACTTCTTAAGCTGTTTATTTTAACATGCTATCCAGACATAATTAGGTTAAATTATTTATTTTTTTACAATTCAATTTTATTTCAGAAATTTTATTTTTCTTTGTTACTACTATTTTTTATATTTTTTTAACCAAAAAACCTATTAGAAACAATAACCTTAAACTTACTATCTTTTCCAAACGTTAATGACACCAAAGTACCACAAATAGCACCCACGGCAGTTAGCAATTGACATTTCATGGCCTGTTAAAGAAAATCATAATTAGAATTCATTTTTAAATTATAGATATAAATTTATCAAGTAAAGAATTGAGGCAAACAGTAGTTGGCAATTAATATACCAAGTTATCTATATTTTTAAATAAATATGCAAATAATATAATCAGTGATTATATCAGAGTATTTTTCACTTTGAGTGATAAAAAAATGAGTTTATATATTTTATACATAAAAACAGGTCAGTAAATGTATGCATCATACAAATATAAATAATATTATAATCATATATTGTAGGTTATAGTTATAAGTTACATTAATTTGTACACAAAAAAAATAATCAATTGGTAATTTGAATTTATTATTTATATTGTATATAACATTATCATTTTAGTGCAAAATTATTTATATTTCCATACTTTAGTTCTTAAATCAACAAGCCCACTCCAATACAATCTAAACATATACCAACCAGAATATTGTTTAAAAAGAAACATAATTACATACCTATCATTAATTATTAATTTTAATTTTAATTGTCATCTTGTTTAAAAAAAAACAAAAAAAAATTAATAAACAATTAACATATTATTATTAGATGAAGATATTCTATTTAGCTAGGAATGTCTTTTAAAAAAAATATTATAATAAAAAGCTTAAATTAAACATAAATATTAAGAAAATTTAATATATTTTAAATTCTAGGTAGAGTATAATTCATTTATTAATCTTGAAATAAATTGCTTTTTCAATAATATCCGTTGTCATAGTAAATCCACTTGCATGCACTTACACGCATCAAAATTGACTAATAATATATCAAAATAATATTATAAAATCTAAAAAGTATACAAATAAATCTTAAGGCCATCTTTCTATTTTCCCATTTGTTTTTCTTATATATATTAACAATAAAACTTTAATTTTTAAATGATAAAATAATAAAAAATTAAAAATTAGTAAGAATGTAGGTACGGCATGTATTAGAGCCGCGATTTCATTGACATTTTATATACCTCCTGATGAATATAATTATTCGATTTTTAACTATTAACAATTTAACTATTAAACTATTTGTTTGAATTTTAATTTTTTTATAAGTCTTACCTATTTCTATGTAAAACTTGTAATATGTACAAAATAACTTTTTGAAATACAAACAATACTCATTGTCTAGATAATATGTATAGTATAAATATAAAATAAAAATGAGTAAATTGTTAATACTCTTAAATTAATAAATAAATAAATACTTTGCACATAAGAATATATATTAATAAATAAATGCATAGCATGGAGTATTATTATATTGGTAATGTATGATTTAAGAATTCATCATCAGGTATACACAAAGTCAAAGTCGCAATTATAATGATTTTGTATATACCTAATGATGAATTTTTAACTTAAAACCAGTCGTACATTATAAAGATAAAACAAAAATATTTTTTAAGCTAAGAAAGTTCATGTTATTCATGTTATATTATATACACGAGATAAAAGATAATATTATTCATTTTTGTGATAAAAAATCGGTAACCCAGTGCTTGGAAAGTTCCTTTAAAAAAGGAACTCGTTCACGTTCACGTTTATCTTGCTAAAAAGAAACTAAATCCTTTATCATTCCTGTCTTGAAGAAAGGAACTAGTTCCTTTTCTTATCCTAAATAAAGAAAATTTATCGTTCTTCAAAAGTTTTAAAATAATAGAAAATGTATATTATTCTTGGTTCATCCTAGAACATCCAAAGTAAGATACAAATATATTTCACACTACTCGGATATCATACACAAAATTTAATTTTGCTATTTTCTGCATGTATACGGGTTTTATTGCTATTTTGCAGTTTATAATTTAATCAGTCCAGCCATCTATGAAACCAAAAATTTGTAAAATTACATTTAATTTTTTTTCTAATCAATTTATAATTTTTTCAAGTTAAATGCATATTTTTTTATTTTTCGTGCTATTTATAGCGCATATTTTAGACTTTTTAAGTGCATATTTAAGAGCTAAAAAGTAAAAATGTTGGTGCTACAACTTCTGAGCCCTGGTAATAGTTAATAAGTAATAAAATAACTAGTTAAAATAACACGAAATTAATTTATCAACCTATGTAGGCAGAACTCAGCAGACAACTGATTTTACTGAAAAAGAGACATTGCATTAGCTGTAGCCTGGAGGTACGCTTTAAAAATAGAAAATATACTCGTAATAAATTACCAATTGTAAATAATACATACCCGTATCGTCAAGTATTTTCCCACCAATAAGGTCGCCGCGACAGAATGGGCATTTTGTAAACATCAATAATTTTGTAAAAATTATTTTAATATTTATTTTTAGCTCTTTATGTTTGCTAAAGAAATTTTAAACTTTTTTTCTCATAGTTCTAAAAATTATTTGATTACTTTTATTCAAAAATAAATTAACGAAAAAAATAATTCGTATTCCTCTAAAAAGTGAACAAAATTCCAATACGTTCCTAAACACGAAAAAGGAACTGTGTTCCCGATAAGTTCCTAAGAATGGAACAAAATCGAAAGAACAAGTTCCTTTGAACGCGTTCCTTCCAAGCACTGTGGTAACCAGATAGGGAAACAACAATAAATGACATTAACTTAATATATCGGTCTATTACAAAAATATCTACTAATTACACACAATGGCTAATCCAAATTACACTGAACAATTTTATTGTACTAAGTGAAGTCCATTAAAATATAAAAATGCCAAAATTTACAAGTCAATCATTAAATAAAATGTATCATAGTATAAATATACTCATATGAAGAAAAAATATCATTCAGTAAAACATTTACAAATCTTATTCAAATGTGGAAAAACTCAAGTACATGATACTCTTAAGAATCAAAATTAAAAAAGAATGGTTAAAAGGTAAATTTGTCTTTTTATTTATTTTTGAAATTGTTAATGTAATATAAATACCTACATAATGTATATCTATTTAAATATTATTTTAAATGAAATGGTATTAAATAATAATAAAATAAGTCTATAATTAATTAATAACTCAAAAATAAAAATTATAATGATTATAAACTAATTTTGTAAAGTGAAAAATACAAATTAAAATCAAATTGATAATCTGGAGTTTTCAGTTGGTTCTATGGTATTGCGCTTTTGAAATGATTACTATACTTAAATATTTTAATGTTTTTGATACTTAAATGTAAACACACAATTTACTAAATTTAAAATAAGTATACTTACATTTGCCTTAGTACTGCCTTCTTGAATCAAAATTGCATAATCTCCAATTTCATGAGGTACCTCATGAAGTAATACTGTTATTGTTGTGACAATACCAATGTTTTGGCCAGCTAAATATGCTGCACCAATGGCAAGTCCATCAGTAAAATTATGTGAAAAATCAGCAACTACATTAAGCCATCCGGCAACTGATAAACTGTGTTTTGGCTCTAAACAAATTATAATTATATCATATTTATTAATTTAAATTAAACATAATAATTATTAAATTAAATTATAAAAACTTTGAATATTGATTAAGATATGTTCTTATTTTTATTTTTAATAAATTTAATCAAACATTCATACCTATATCAGAGCGATATCTTGACATTATTACATTTTGTAACATTTAGTGTAATACTAAAGTATTGTTTATAATAAATATAAAATAATCATAAAACATTTATTTAATAAAAAAAAGTTTTATATTTGAATACATAAATTTGTTCAACAATTATCTATTTTCCATTATTGCAGGTAGTGTTATAATAAGAAACAACATGTTTTGGTTAATGCAAACTCATATTATCTTAATAGACTGAGAATTGTTTGATTGTAAAATATTTAAAACATTGTTTGCTTTTATAATGCAATATATTTTTGAGTTGTCAACAAACAGCAATATTTTATAAGAGAAAATAAGAACTTAAGATAGATTATTAATATATAATAAAAATAAAAAAGGTCCTCAATGAAAGCTTAGTGAAGCAATGGTAGGATGAGAAAAATAGTACGACTTATTTTATGGCAATATCATAATTTGTTTAATTTACTACAGAATTCTAACTGCACAAAAAAATTAATAATATTTATATTATATTATAATAAAATAAATAGGCTTTTACCTATACATATATAAATGTATTGCTTTATAGTTGTATGGCTAGAGATGTGAGCTCAATAAATTTACCCGGTAAAATTTACAGATAAAGGTAAATTTTACTAAGTATTTTTTTACCTGGTATTTTTTTTTACCATTAAAAAAAATTGAGTAACCCCTTATTTTAAATGTTTTTACTAGCAAAATTTTTATTCACTGTTATAGAAAATATACTCATATATAGATATAAGTATATCTACAACCGTGGTTTTATTTAGATAATCAGCGTAGCCTATACGACAATAAAATGCAGGCACTGTATTCAGTACTTAAGTATATTTTCAGTGATGTATTACTAAAATAAATCCTGGATATACGCCTTATTTCATGTAGTAACTATCATATAATAGGAACCAAAAAAACTCACTCATAAACTACGCATCCTTAATTATGACTATTTGATAACAGAAACTTGTTGTTAAATGATAACAAATTTGAATTTTTCATTAAGAAAAAAAAATGAAAAATAATAATAATATATCACAGTTCAGTGAAACAGATTCAAGTGATGATGATTTTTTTAATTCCATTCAACATACACTTGCCTAGTTAAATTAATTCATAAATTAATTTTAATTAAATTATAACTATTATGTTATGCTGTATTATTCAATATTCTGTAAAAAGTTTTGTTATTTATTTAAATTTTATTGTCTTTTAAAAGATATATTGTTTATTTTATTATTTTTTCTATTGTTTAACTTTTAGTTTTTTGTTTTATTTTATAAATGTAAATACTAATTATATCAAAAACATACATATAGGTACAAGTATAATATGTTGATAATATTAAAGTTAGGTTTAATGTTCAATACAAGTTACTTGATTTACTTTACATATTGTTTTCTGTTCTGAATGAAATAACTTATTTCAAATAAATAATGGTTTTTTTTTCTTAAGAGCCATTTAAAATTTTAGATATAGATGAAAAGTCAATAGTCATATAGAAATAGTGAATGCGAAATATGTTAGATAGGTTGGTAGGTAAAAAGAAAAAAAAACATTCATCCTACATTTTAAAACTTCATAAAAATGTTGAAGAAGGTAAGAAATTTAATACGTAAGCTGTATTTAAAAATCTAATAAAAATTACAAAAAAATTTTTTTTTTCAAAATTTACCAAATATTTTTTACTGGTAAATTCCACATCTCTGTGTATGACATATTATGTTATAATGTAAGTAATATTAAATATTTTATAAGTATATTATATAATTTCATATTGTAGGAATCCAGATATAATAAATAGCTTATATTTTAATAATTTATTAAATAAAATACTTATAGTTAAGTATTTAAGCCAAAATGTTAATAAATAGTTCAAAAAACCATAAGCTTCACTGTTGTTATAAGACTTAAGCTAACTATCAATAAAATAATTATTATGAATTTATCTGAAACTAAATGCAATATACCCTTATAAATTCATAATAAAAAATGTTAACTTGTACTTAAATATTTCATTTAGAATAAATAGGTAAAACATATAACTTTTAGTTTCGAATACCTTATCAAATTCAAAAAATTAGTTAAAAATAATGGTTACGGTTACTGCAGATAAATTAATGAACTTATTGTTCGCTAATTATTTTTGTTAACATATTTTTAAAAAATTTAAAATTTAAAAAAAAATCATAATTTATAAGAGAATACCTATATATATTTGATGAATATAATAAGACTACTCACTTGCACGATCAACATTCTTATCAACATTATCGTCCTCATCGTCACTCAATTTTTCCTTGGTATGCGCACTTGAATGAGAATGGCTATGACCTCCTTTTACAACACGAACCAATTTTTCAATGAACAAGAACACCAATATACCAGCCAAGATCCATAGACCAACTCTAGTCTCGTTACTATGATCGTGAGCTTCTTCTGGCGAATGTGTATGTATACTGCAGTGTTTGCTGTCATCATGATGATCGTCATGGTGATGATGGTGCGTGGACAACGAATGAGGAATCAAGTGCAAGAATGCGTCGCCCAACAGTCCACCGGACGCAAAACTTAAGAGAACCTTCAAGAACGATTGGTGTTCGTCTTTGTTATCAATAGGTATGAAGAAGAGTACGAAAAACGGAAAGACGCTAATGGCCACAGTGGAGGACAAAGCTTTAACCCATAGCATGGTGTCGAAGGGTACTTGTTTTGAATCGGCATGGTGATCGTGGTGATCGTGGTGGCCGTGGGTCAGACACAGTTTCGGCAATCCCAGAAACACGAAGACGAACAAAAGCGCCCAGCAAACATATTTAATACATTTTTTGGACGGCGGCATGGCTGCGTCGGGCGATCAATTCGGTCACGTAGGCTTGATGATCCCTTACAACGGCAACGACAACGGGACGGCAATACGGTCAAACGACGGTTACGTTCACGTTCGAGCAGTCGTCATTTCACACGGAACGTAAGCATCGATGGAACACGTACGTTCGTTATCTGCCCGTCGGCGGAGCGCGCGTTGACTGCGGTCGATGAGGGGAAGATAACGACGGCGGCGGCGGCGGCGGCGGCGGCGAATTGCGAGGGACGGAAAAAAATAAACGAACGGTTGACTGATAACGTTCGGCACGATTCCGTCCTTGTCCGTGTACGACAACCGATAAGAACGCCGCCAGGACAGTATTCGCAGTACGAACAGAGAACGACGCGCCTGAAGCCACGTAACCACTCTTGTCCGTGGTGCGATTTATTGCCGTTGCACGATGTCAAGCACCAGGCAATCGCATTCAAATACGTGTTTCGACCCGGTCCCGTATCCCATCGCCCCCACTACCATTTCGGTTATCGTTTGCTTTTTTTTTTTTTTCCCGTTAAATTGTTTTATTTTCTTCCCTCCCCGTTCGAATTTCCATATCATCTTATCCGTTGGTATTAATCCCCCTCGACGACGCACTCGATTCACACCAGACCGACATGAATTTGCCGAAACGCACCTGTTCAGATTTGCCATGATATTTGAATAATACATTATGTAAATAAATCGCAATTAGTGTCTTTTTCGAGTGTTCGAAATCAAACAGTTTACTATTTTTACTATTAAAATTATTAGAAATTTTTTTTTTTTTTTTTTTTTGTTTTATCTGTACAGATAATATTGCAACAATAGAATTATTAACGTTTAGAATCACAATGAAAATTATTTATTTCATACAATTTTCCATCTGTAAAATTGGTTTGAGTTTCGTAAAACATTTTAACTTCAATATTGTTTTTATAACCGGGCTGCTATCTCAAACTACATTTATATTTGCATTCAATCTCATATACAGATACACTTCATAAATCTTACAGTACCTACCTTGTTAGAATTTTCAAAAAATAGGTAGGTACTGAAGTGCTTTCTTTTTAATTTAATTATACGGTAACTTAAAATATCATAAACATATTAATTTGTAGCACAACAAACTTAAAATTATCATAATTTCTTAATCATATTTGATAAGGGATTAAGGGATAAAAAAACTGCTAATGACTATCCAGTTTCACCATGTACGGCGCAGCATCTAAGAGCATCAAAAACACTTTTTCTTCGTTTTCGCTCAAGTGCAGCGGCGGATTGGCCCACCGGGATCCGGAAAAGTTCCCGGTGGGCCGGTAATCGTATTATATCACTGGGGCGATGTACTTGGATAAAAAATATTATTATTATAATATTATATATTTAATTGTAAGACTGTGATAAAAATTTGGTGTAAACGTGATGTAAACAGTTTTACGAGCATTTAATCCATGAATAAAAGAGACTTTTATGGAAAATTATTATTATTGGATGGTGAGCCGGTCGTACGGTAATTTCCTGGGCCGAAACCGCCGTTGCTCAAGGGTCACATTAATTTTAACCCATCATTCACAAATCGAGCTATAGTAGAATGATTAGGTAGTATTTTCTAAAATATTACATTTTAAGAGAAAAGAACAAGTTAGGTGATTATAATTTAAAATCCCGACCAATAAATTCGCCACACAACAGCCATTTATATGTTGTCTCGTCCAGATGTTACTATCGTTTGTTTATATTGGACAAAATATTTTCATAATTATGAAATAGATGATTTTATCTCAACCAAATTTTATCGGGTATTTGTTTGCCAATATATTTTTCAAAAAATGCTCGAAATTGTGGATTTTGAAACTTCTACTACGGTATATTTGCGGCAATAAAACTCAAATATAAATCTTCAAAAAATTCATTTACATTTTATTCCGAAGTTGATTATGATAAAAACAATTGTTTTTAAGTGTTTGACTTACACTTTAGAGCCTCTTGGTGTGAAGATGTTTTGATATCTGACTTTTTAATGCATAGAATGTATTTATTACACAATTGACATAAAATAGTTGTGCCATCAGTTGTACAATTTATATTGTTTTTATTTAATGGCAGTATCCACTGTTCGATTACATTTTTTAACATAGTCGATGGTATTTTCTGTATTATTAAAAAGAAACGAATAAAAACAAGTGACTAATCAAATAAAACAATAACATAACACGAACCGTGACACTACACTACTGCAGTGTTGTTTTTGAACAAGTGAATGATAAATGAACTCTTAGGGCTATTTTTAAAATGTAATTTCAAATAATTTCTTGTTAGCCATCGTTATCAAACATAATAATAGCTTATTGTTATTCCGTTTATAGTTTTATCAATAAAAAAAATTACAAGACTAAAATTACGTTTATATTATATTTCCGCCACTACGATACAAAATATTGAAAATTATTAAAAGTAATCGATATATTCTCTAATATTCTTTATTGTATAAAATATTCTTTCATCTTGAAAAATTCTTAAATATGCAAAAATACTTTTGTCATTGATTTATACATTTCATGATTTGTTAACATTTCAAATTCCTGTTTAACTGCATAGACTCAACAAATATATGTAAAAGAATATAATTCCAGCCTCTTATTATAATAGTAAAGTAAAAAAATACGTAATATGTATTTTTTAAGCTCAAGTTGAATTAAAATTTTGTTCCTAACCTAGTAATAAATTTCTATCAATAAAAATAAATCTAACAGCACAATGCTTTTTATTTTGAAAAAAAAATGGAATACAGTTTAAATAATTAACATGTTAATGCTGCTATTTGGCAAATATTACAGACTAATAAAATAATAATAAACTCAGGAAATTAAATTTTTACAATATAAATATCCTAAATCTTTTTGACTATCTGTAAGATATATATAAATATATAACCAATATTAGTACAATATGAAATCACTAGATGAACTGTTAACTTAAATCACATAAAAAAAAAAATAAATTTATAATTTTACGTCTAAGTATTATTATTACAGTTAAACAGACTATTGTAAATACAAAAATACCATAGAGTTCTTATTATTTGAATTAGGATAATATTTATTTTTATTTTTTTATATAAGATATCTGTAATAATATAAACTAATAAAATCAATCAACAATATTATGATCACCATACAACCAAAAACACACTAAAAAAAAAAGAAAAAAAAGAGAAATCCGATACATTAATTTAAAAATAAGTATAATAATCAATTTATTAATATTATTATTATTATTATTATTTTAACCACAAATAACAAAAATTAATTCTAAAAAGTCCATGTTTATAAATAGTTTATAAATATTTTACATTTAATCATAAACAGAATATTATGAAATTTCCCTTCTAATGAATAAAACTTATAGTTAAATATTACAAGTTTAAAAATCTCATAAATTACAACACTAAAATATAAATTTATTTATTAAGACTTATGATGAAAATCTACACAAACACTATCTTCCTCAGATGTGTATGTATATTAATTTTATATCATTATGCATACTTAATTCTGTAATACAAATTACAAATAGTAACAGGAGTATAATAAGATTATATCTAAATTAAACTTCAATAGTTATAATTGCTATTAAGTAAACAACATAATTTTATTTACCATTTAAAACTTTAGGATATATTTATATAAAAAATAATAGATAATGTTCATGTGCTTTATGAGAAATTTGAAATGCCCCTTTGAAAATTAAATAAATAAATGTATAATTACCCCTTAACATCATCTAAATTTAATATAATCATGACAAGCAAAATAATTATTAGCAACCCGAATAGCCATGGTCTCGAGTTGCATAAACCGTAAATCATTGATCACTAGTAGTAGTTTTTAACTCTTTAATTTGCTTGATCAGATATGCCTTCTCATCATTGAACTGTTCATCTTCAGATCGTTCAGTGTGAAATCTAGTCAAGAACTCGACAAGTTTATCTTGGTTGCGAAGCAAAATATCAAGAATAGGCTTGGGTTTGTTAGGATTAGCAACAAATACCTAAACAAAATAATAATTATTGTATTGAATTTTATTAATTTTAACTATTTATTTTAACCTTGAAAACATGGAAAGCTTCAAATTGAATATTTCTAGATTTTTCTTTTAGCATATTCATCATCAATTTTAAATTATCTGGATTAGATATGTAACGAGTCATTACCTGAAACAAATAAAAATAAATATGGTTATTTAATATATAAATGAAAATAGTTTATAATAAAAAATACATACAGTGAAATTATGACGGTCTAACAATAGTTCACCCAGTAATTTAAGACTTTGGCGACGAGTAACATAATTTTCAGAATTTAGTAATTGTTGGTAATGTGTAAATACTTTATCATAATTGATTTCAAGGAATTCAGCACAGAGTGGTTTGTGTCGTGTCAACAGTTCCTGTATAACAAACAACCAAAATATAAATAATGATTATAAGCTCAAACAATTATTAAATATAAACCTTAAATGTAGAAAAAGCATCTGAAGCAATATCAAAAGTGGACACTTCTACATAACGAAAGAAATTAAAAAATTCTTTTGAGTATAATAATATTTTTGCTAATGCTTCGTATCTGGCACATTCCCGTAACATAGTTCCACAATTCAGTGCGATTTCTTGATGTTCATACCTAAATTTTAAAAAAATTCTCTTACTTTTCAATTCATAACAATATCATTAAAAATAAATAATTATTAAAGATAATCTAAAGCAATTATATTAATTTATATTTAATTCTGATCTACACACCCTGCTATAAGAGTAAATAATATTTCAGATTTAGCACAGATATGTTCAACAGTAGGTGATCGGCTTCCCAGTTGTCGCCGAAGTACATTATTAAAAACTTGAGCAACATCCTTTTTGCCCTGTAATATTACATAGTTATATAATAAAATAAATTTCAATACATAATGAATAAAATGTTTGAACATACTTCAAAGTCTATTTTTGTCAAATTCTGTATCAACATAAGTAATAAGTTATTGTTGTACATTTCTTGTGCTAGCTGAGCAACAACAATATCTGACAAAGGCTCAGTATCTGCAGTTCCGTACAATAAATTTTTTATTACTAAAAGATTCTTACTCACATCTTCTTGTGCCTAAAAAAAAAAAAGACAAGCAAAATGTATGTTACACAAAAAATTAAGTATTTGCAATAAAACAAATTTATATTTTATTAAGTTCAACAAAATTAAACAGTAAATAATCAGTAAACATAATTACAAACAGCAATTAAATTAATATGCAGATTTATACAGAACAGTCTAAACAATTACTAAGATATTTAATAATAATTATACTTAGGTATACAGGGAACTGAAAATGAATAGTATTTTTTTCAAAAAATTTTTATATAATATGTAAATATGTACTCTATAGTTTTTAAATTTATACATATTAATAAATTAATCATAATTTAGTTTTATTTTTAATTTTTTTTTATTTTTTTATTACCGCTAAATTTAGTGGAATATTATATTGCAATGTATTATTTTTAAAATAAAACAAAGTACTTGAAAAAAACTATAGTTTATTCATTTAAAATTAACGGATTATTTTTATAAACGAATAAAATTAATAGATTATTTTTAGAACAGATATTAAATTATTTTTTTAAAACCAATAAACTTTAATTAATACTATTTAGTAAGTTTAGTCAAGGAATACTATAAGTAAATATCAAAATAAATAATTAAATAAAAAAATAAAAAATGAACTAATAAAAACTAGAACTATAATGCATACAACTAACAAAAACTAATTAAACTATAAGAGAAGCATTAATTAATTACTTTATTAGAAATAGAATATAAATTACTAAAAATGTGATACAAAATGCTAAAGAGCACCACAAAACTGTTTTTTTATCAGGTTTATTAATTTTAAAATAAATAAATGGTAAATACTAATTTTAAAGATTTATAATTTAATACAGTAAAATAAATATTGGTTTTAGATAATCATTATATTAAAATATTAATATATAATTTTATTAATTTATATATAAATATAAATTATATATATTATATATATATTAAAATAAATAATTCATATTAGTTTAGTTAAAATCGTACAAAATATTATAGTAAATGAAAATACTAAACTATAATACATAAATACAAAAAAAGTCACAAAACAAAAATTACTTTGCAACAAAACTAATATAAAAACTACATATTAGGAGCTATGAAAAAAAAATTTATCTGTAATATAGCAAGATAAGTATTATAAAAATCTTAGAAAAAAAAAATTCATAAATTATCATTTATGATGAAAAGATTCATAAATTAAAATGAAATATGGTACTTACTTTTTCTAATTTTTTATCTCCTTTTTCTAATGCAACAACAGCTTCTTTTATTTGTTTCACAACCTCAACGGGATTCTTTTGCGATTTCCCAAATAACGGCATATTTCTAAAATAAATAATACGATTCATATTAATGAAAGTAATAAACTGTTTTTACCACTATTATACACATGTGGTTGTTCATATACTAATTCACTATAGAAAAATCATGAAATCCACTAAATGTGTTATCTGGTTAGGAATCATATTAAGATCAGTCTCTAAACACAATGCGTACATATATATTACAAATGAAAGCATTTGAACATTGTGTTATGGTAGCTTAACAAAATAATGTATAATTAAGATAAGAGTATTGAAGACCTCCAATCATTTAAAATGTTATCTTTAAATATTGTGATTTGTAGAACAGAACTCGTTATCTATACCTGTACATTTAATCTAAGTATTAAAAAGGTAACATGAAAATAATAGGTTCTTGCTAATGATTTATAACAAACTAAGATAATATTATTACATCCTAATAAAATTAACATTTTAAACTTTAACATTACAATTATAACATATAAATATTATAAAGTATATCAAAATATACCAATAGACGGTGTTTATACATAAACAAGTATGCTTAAAAAATGATTTTCACACACAACTACAAAATAAAAAATTATCTAACTACTCAAATACTTTGGAAAAGATCCAATAAACGTACTTATAAACAAGGAAAATACAAATATATCAAATTTCACAACAATTATTACTTAATAAGATTGACAGCTTTAAAAAAAAACTTTGACTTTATTGTTTTATTGATATAACCACTCCTTATTATATGAACATGTAAAATGTTGAATAGTCTTTCTGATTGTTAACAATATTTGGAAATTAAAATCAATTTCCAACATTTTTTAATGAACCTGTCTTTAAAGTTATATATTTATATAAGTATGCAACAACAATATCAGCAAAACATTAAATACAATAATATAGATAACAACAATAGTATTACTATAGACAAACATTTAATTATAAACCTATATTATACAAAATCTTGATAAAAAAACATACTAAAATGAAAAAAATCCATACAGCAGACCAATAGATTACAAAAATAATGTACTAACTTTCAAAAAATAAATTGTTAGAAATAAATATTTTTCTGAGAAAATCATAAAATAACTTTGAAATTTAATCGATTTTATTATAAATGGGATTTTAATAAATGTCAAAGTAATGAACTAATAAACATTAGATTTGTTTTAAGATCAGTAGAGTTCAATATATCATCAGCAGTTTCGAGCACAAAATGAACCTAAATCATGCTGAATATAACAGTCTAATAATAGCTGTAACAAGAAAATGTTGTCTTAAGTGACTTATAATATTAGGATTCATACCATAAGAAAAAGTGACAGAAATTGTTGAAATTCATCTTGAATACATAGTACGCCCCCGGAATCAAGTTAAACTGCAGCAAGTTATGCAAACAACAAATTTAACATCAACTTATGAGCACTTTATGACCATTTGTAAGAGTAAACAAAAAAGCAGGTTACAAATTCGTACCAGTTTATTGCTGACGACACAGTCAGCTAGGTCGGTTCACGTTGAACAGATTGCAAGACTGTATCGACATTGGACTGCACGCAAAGGATATCAAATCCATTACACACATACGAGTACAGAACGTACCTTTATTATGACTGTGAGTTATGATGGAAATTGATATTGTCAATTCGGTGATGTCCGTAGGACGACGCGTTCCATCCGTAAACGAAATTGTATTTTATAATACAAATTTTTACATATATATATATATGCAATATTAATGTACACGCACTCAGCTGTGACGGAGTTATTAATATTTTATTTGAATTGCGATGTTTTCTCTATGTTATCGAATTATCTGCCCGACGACCACAACAACAATTCAAATAAAAGGTACGCACGAATAGAACACATCGGGACGTCCTGCTATCGGTTACACATGCTAAATATTTTCAGACGAGCCGCGCGCATGCGCTGTAGCTGTGCGTGTATGCGTGAGTTCGTTCGTAAACGCGTCGTTTGTGTGTACGTGTGCGCGTGTGCGTGTATGTGTGCGCGTGCGTTTGTGCGTGCGTGTGCGTACGTGTGGGTACGTGTGCGTTGTACGTGCGAAAGTATGTTTACTGCGTTTACGCATCACGCACGCGCATAGTGCGTACGGTGTGCACCGTGCACCGCGAATTTATTATCATCAAAATAATGCAATACATTATTTGTGTACAGTGATAATAAAATAAACACGAAATCGTAATACAATAACAGTTAACAATAAACAGTACTACTACTAATAATAATAACGATGATGATGATAGTAAAAATAATTACGATTTATATACCCACGGACGGAAATATCGACGATATGCGGTTCGGATGACGGTGACGAGTGTAATATATCGGTAATTACTGCTCGCGGTGGTGTATTGTCCGGCGAGAACGGTCACGGTAATGTTGTTGCGGCGACGGGACGGCTCACAGAACGCGGTCGGTTTCGCCGTACGTGGTCGCTGGTCGGCACTGCTTGCACACTGTATCGTACACTGCACGACGGTAACGCAACGGCACACGAGTCATGCGGCGAGTACGCGGCAGCCGTTGTCGTCGCGTCGTCGGCACACCACCGCATCGTCCTCCGCCGCGCCGCCGACGCCTCCGCCACCGCAGCGACGATACGCCACCGCCGTTTCCTCCACCCACCTTCTTCTCGGTCGTCGCCCATCGACCAACGGTGCCGCCGACGCGACGGACCAAAACAATCCGTTTCCGAACATTTTTGCCAGGCGACTCCTCGCTTTCCGCGGGCCACGGAACAAAGTAGTTTGTTGCACCGCCGCGCGGCCGATGAACGCGAAACCGCAGTAAATCGTCGTTGCGCGCGTTCCGTAGACCGGGCGACGAAATAACGCGATCGCGACCCCGGTCCGTTTGTGACGCGTATCCGGGTGTCGCCGGAACCCGGCGAGCGTACCACGGCAATGCGGTCCGCCCTTACACAGGGTGGATGATGGTTTTGATTCCGAAAGGCGGAGCACAGGCGCACAATATTGTGTTGTCGAATTTAATGTCGAATAGGAACGCGCACAAACCCACTGGACCCGTGTGCAATACTAACGATTTTCGTTTGCAATGGTTGCACGCAGGCAGATTCCTTGGGCAATATTTTAACGTCCGTTTCCGTTATTGTCACGCTTGGCAGATGTCTGTTCAACCTCTCTCGACCTTTGTAATGTTACGGACATACGTAAATGTAGATCCTTTACGATTATCATTGTACGGGGGAGGAACACATATCGCATCAAGTATTAAGAATATCAGAACAACTCTTTATACAATTAACATATTGGCACCGGTAATTGCGACAACTAAAATACCGTAGGGTAGAGTAAATACGCAAGCGAATTTATACCACAGGACTTAGATATAATCTAATAATTTATAGAAAACGTGAAAGGCAAATATAGCAAAAACAACCACTCTATGTATATGTATATATATATATATATATATATATATATAATAGGAAGTCTAGGGTTGGGCGCATAGAAATAATTATTTGATAACAACTAAAATACAAAGAACACATTGTTAGCTAAATATTGTATTGGCAATGATGGGAAAACAAACTAAGAAAAGATCACTTAAGCCCAGGGCATTAATGATAAAATATACTCTTTTGGAAGGACCACAATCTCTTACACAAGAACGAGGTATTTAAGGTAGTCCCGAACAGACCAATATTCAGATGTGTTACAGTCAGATCATAGCACGCACCTTCACGCCAGTATATTTGTCAAACTAGTTAATGTTTTGTACTTAGAAAATATTCACAATAAATAACAGTTTAACTTAAACTGAATTATTATTTAGAATATCCTAATACACATCCTTCGTCTGAACTGTCGTATTGGCGACACGCAACAGTATATTTATCTATATCTATATCGAATATTATCCAATTAAAGTACATTCGGCTAGCTAGTTTTTTACCGATATTTGTGGTAAAAAATATAACGTGAGTTGTATGAAATAATCGGTAAGAAATAAATTTAATCATTCAGGTTCTATCTTATACAAATACCTGGGACACAATAAATATGATATTTAATAAAATGGTGTAATAATAATAATAATAATAATAATAATAATAAATAATCGTTAGTAAATATTGATATCGACTCTATATCGTACACTATATTCTTCAATACTTATAAACGGTATTATACTATTATATATTATGCAATTATAGATAAACTTTAATGGTAATTTACAATAAAGATAAACACGATAAGATTCATAACTGTATTTTCAATTTACTAATATATTATATACTACGTAGTATTTATAAATTACAAAAGTTCTCAATACATACTTTTTGTTCATTTCATAAATTTATATTATTATGTTTATGAGACATACCTAATAGGTACGTGCCTACGTCCAAATGACCGTAAACATGTGACCCTATTAGGCAATATTATGTAATATTATGCATCGATAGTTTTCTGTTTACGAACGAATAAACAATAGCCGCCAATGAGTGTTTAAAATAAGTAGTTATGCGATATAATCATGTACGTCATACACATATGTTGTTGTCGATTTCAATCATTGTTTTTTTTTTAAAAAAATTAATCATTTTTCATTATTGATTATTCAAAAACTTTTATTGGCTACACAAAATAATAAATTTAAATAATCGTCGATATGACCAGATTAAAATGCAGTTAATCTAGTTGATTCATTAAAAATGTTATTTTTAAAATAGTTTTACTATTGACTTTTTTTATAGTAGGTTGTATATATTATATTTGTTATATTTTATACAACTGTAATACAAATGAATACATTAGGTCCTGCAGTAACATTTCTAATCAAGTAGACCGTTATGGTCATAAACTTATAAATATGCATTGGCGCTGAAGACTATTCTGAGCCTTGGCCCGATTATTTATCTAAAAATTAAATGGTGCTAGGAGGCCACATAAACGCATAGTACTCTACATCTATTAGAGTTCAACCGTAAGCCACTAAGTTTTTGGAATAATAGCTCGATTATATTTTTAAAACATTGGCGTCACTATACGCATGAATTATACACTACTATTATACTATTATACTACTATCATACACTACTGTCTAGTATATACAACATCGCCTTTATACGAATTACAGTTTTTATTATACGAACTTCAAGGTTTTTCTCGACGGCTAAAAAAAAAAAACCGTATGCAGGGTTATTAAACCGACATGACAGTGATTGCAAGCTTTTATTATATTATGAGGACGACGATTTTGCACGAGAGAATATCCGGTGCCGCCGGAACGGTGAATCGGTTAACGGTCCGACGGTAAAACGTTTCGCGACCGGTCGAATACATGACGGTGGCGTCAGCTTCTCGGTGATAAGCCGATATCACACGGTCTAGCGGCGGATTAATTCATTTTCGTGGTTCAGTGGTTGATATCGATCGAGTAATAGGATTTTTGAGTACACCGTATCTGCGATTAACTGTTGCCTCTAACTATTTACCGTTGTAGCGCCGCAGCAGTTGCGCGGACGTTGCGGTTTTCGTAAACCGTTGTCATTGTGTTCGTTCACCGGGCACCGGTCGGTTATCGTTTGCCGCCGACCGGTAATGTAACCGGTAACGGCTCTCGCATTACCACTGCGAATCTTTTAACCGTAGACTCTTTCTCATTCTCCTCGTCCGTCCGAAAAATGATCAAAACATTCATCGGTTGGATTTGGAGGAAACTCTGGTGGGCGTGGTATTTGGCAATAACCTTAGTCGTGTGCTACACCAGGGATTGTCTTCGGAAAAGGGCCATCTGGGACGTAGGTATGTGATTGACGGGTGCATTATAGTATTACATCAAGCGGCTGCTTGAAAAGTATCATAGATACAGTTAACCCGTCTTGAGACGTATTCTAAAATCAACTCGTGGGCTTCTTATGTTCTTGATGTAATTTGAGCCATCGAAATGTTCGATCACTTACACAAAATTACACAAAAAACAAAATTATCCACTTCGTCTTTGTAATCTTAATTTGTGTTATTATTATTCGTTTTAAATAAATTCACCTCTTAAATTAGAATTTTATGAATATCTTTGAAAACATTTTATAACAATTTAGAAGATATAATATTAGGCAAAGACTGTTGGCATTTTATTGTTTTATGTTCTGAGCAATTATTTAAAATAAAATAGTCAACTGAATACTGGGAATAATGTTAAATCAATAAAGGTATCAAAATTATAAAATATTGGAAACAAATAAGAAATTCATCTTAAGGAGAAATAATGAATTGTACTTAGAATTTGTTAACACAGTACAAACTATCAGTGTTAAAAATAGAAATAAAAATTTCCTGATTATACTTGATACGATTGAGTTAAAAAAAATAAAATATTTGTAATATTTAGATAAATTACCTTATTTTTAACGAATCTATATAAAATTAATAAACCATTAAAATGTGTATTCATTGTCTATCAAATAGGTATTTAAAAAAATTAATAAAAATAATACCTAGTTATTTAAATTTTAGTGATTTTTTTGTTTTACCGTTTTAAATACAATTTATATTTTTGCAGTTGCTGTTTTCATGGATTCCTTGACGCCAAAATTTTACATTGCACTTACAGCTACATCATCACTGATATCAGCTTTAATAATGGTATGTTTTAATAATATTTAAATTTAATTAATTCAACTAAGATATTAGTTATTAGTTATTAATTTATTATTGTTTAAATCTTACGTACTTTTTATTGTTTTTTTCCTATAATTATATTAGAACAAAGTTTGAGTTAATTTAACCATGAAAAAACTATAATAATAATGCAATTGTTTTTTATATTAGTGTATTGAAACAACAGGAAAAATTCAAAATGAACAACTTTTTGTGCTACTTCTCTAATTTTTATTTTCTCTAAAATAAGTACTCATTGAAGTGTTTATTTTTTTATTTTTTTTCTTCATTATTTTGTTTACCACATTATTTTATTTTATTACTAAAAGTAAATCATATACCTAAACATTAAAAAATATATTTTTTCTCATATAGTCATATTAAATTGTCATTAATATTAATGTGCATTTTTAAATAATTGCTTTATACATTAGAACCACAATTATCCAAAGTAATGGTAGGGAGAAGTCATACCGATAATTGAAAACTTTTATTAGTCGAAATTTTATTTACCTAAAAAACTTTAATTTAATTTTTTATTTATTATTACGTTTTATTTAATTTGTATTTTATAAATGCATATTGTGATATTTTAAAATTATAAGGGCTAAAATTTGAAGTAGATTTTGTTATTTATGGTATGAAATAATTTTTCTTGAATTCATGCCATCATTCCTGCTCACAGAAGTTCAGGGCAATATAAACTACTTCCATAAATTTATTTATAATATAGTCCAAACATTGTTTATTAAATTAATATTATTTATTATAATTAACCTACATACAATACATACGGATTAGGTGCCTATGCCTTTATTTTTGGAAAAATGAGCATGATTAATTGCGAACATGGATAGTAAAGATATAAGATATAGTAAATCGGGATTCTACTGTATATGTCATTCATAAATAAAGTTATTAAATACATAAATTAATTATTAAATTATAGTTTAAATAAGAAATAAGAAGTAAAAAAGTACATTTTGAACATTTTTCTTTTTAGATCTAAATTTTAAATAATGATAATTCTTATATCAAAATAAGATTAATTTATATAAAAAATAATAAAAAATATTACAAGACATTTAAAAATTAAAAATGTATACTACTTACAGAATTTAGAAAACTGGGTTAAAAGTATACTAATTATAATAAATTATATACATTTATTTTTTTATAAATTTATAAGCCATATTACATATTATTACTTTTAACTTAGAAAATATCTCTTGACCATTAATTAAATGATAATTATTTATCTAATAAAGTATTTGATTACATGTTAATTTGCTTTTAATGAAATAACCAATTTTAAAGCTATTATGTAAATAATTGTTTGTAACACATTTCAAATGCTATATATTTTCCTGATTATTAAATAATAATTATTGTTTTTCAAAACTGGTTTTCAATTAAAATTATATATTATTTTTAGGTTTTGGAATTGATATATTTTCAAAGATATGGAGTGTCTTTTATTGAACAATTTTCACTCAACTATATAAGTCCTTGGATTGGCGGAGATAACGATAATAACCAACAAGTACCAGGTATATCTTTTTATTAAAATAATATAATATTTTATTTATGCATTTATGAGGTTATTAGTATAATATTTATTGTTAATTTCTTTAATATTATTTTAAAATAATTTATCAATGCATTTTTAATAAGACAAAACATACAATCTTAAATATAAGCTCAGTTTTTAGGACTGTCCATTCTATGTGTTGAAAAAATATATATAATTGTTATTACCAGGATTTGAGGCTTTTAGCACTGAAAAACACAATAAAAACATTATTTTTTCTTTTTTTCAATCGGTTGAAGTTTTTCATTTTTTAAATTTGAATAATTTTCTAAAATATGCAAAATAAGCAAAAAAAACGTAAAAACTAATTTTCTGCAAAATCTATGTAATAAGCAAAATTATGCAAATTCAAAATTCATATTTGGAATCATGACATTGAGAAATGAATTTATTTCGCTCTCTGCTATCCCGAATCCTAATAATAACTTATTATCAATTTCTTAGTAAAATACTTACCTTCCAATTATTGTTTAATAAAAATTTGAATGCTTAGAATTATAGTTTTTATCATTTACTGTAGATTAATATTAACTTTTTTACAATTTATAAACATATTCTCTAAAAAAAAAAAAAAGTTTAATTACTTTATAAGTATTTTAATTGATCTTATCGTTTTTCTCGCTTATTTTGATATAACTACTGTTTATTATTTAATTAATTAACAATTAATTTTGTATTTTTGTATTTATAACTCATCAATTTTTCGAAAACTCATATTTTCTTATAAATCTAAATTAAATTTTTTTAGAATGCAAAGTATGGAGAAATCCTTTGGGTCTTTTTCGGGGTGCAGAATATTCAAGATATTTCAATGCAACCAAACGAGATCCTTTGACGTTTTATGATATGAATTTATCAGCCCAAGATCATCAAGCATTTTTCATATGTGATGCAGATAATGGAAAACCAGATTATGAAAGTATAAAATATTAATTTTATAAAATATTGTTTATGCTTAGTAAATTTAAATTTACTATTTTTATTTAAGTAATGCAAGCTGCATGGAGGGAAAGGGTACCAGCTGCAAGAATAAAAGCAGCACATTTGGCTTTGGAAAAAAATGCTGACTGTGTTACAGCTCTTATAATGTTGGCTGAAGAAGAAGCACCAACTATGTTGAAAGTTGAAAAAATTCTACGAAAAGCACTAAAATTAGCTGAAGCTAATTACAAAAAAACTCAAAAATCTCATCATTTGGATGCTAACATAGAAATGCAACACAGTAATTATATTTATTTATATATTTACAAAATTTTAATTCATAAATTGATGTATTTCGATAATATTTAGGTATCTAAAAAACTAAATTCTTAACACTTTTTTTTCGATTGATGGATTATACTATTTATAACAATTGTAACCAAATTGATTTTTAGCATAATTTGTGGGTTTTCAAATTTTCATTGTTTTAACTAATTGAATAATCTGATTATTTTTAGATACAACTTCCAATACATTTTAAATATCGATAAATATTTATGTTTTACATAGGAGACTTTTTTCATATTTGTAATTATTAATTACATATATAATTATACTAATTCATAATTAGTATCATTTTTTTTTTTAGTTAAATTTTGATGTTCATTAGTATACTAATAATTTTAAGTCATTTATGTATGCAATAAAGAATAAAATGTATTTCGTGTTTATTAAAATAGCAATTTTTCATTAGAGAATAATTCTAAAAATATTATTTATTGATTTATTTACTTTATATATATACTTATAGCTATTAATTTACGATATTATTTTAATATAATTTCCTATTTGTCTTAGGGCGGGATTTAAATGTCTTAATATACATACGAAGGCGAATAGCAATGTGCTGTAGGAAGTTAAGAAAGTTAAAAGAAGCCGCAAAAATGTTTAGAGATGTAAGTGTACATAAATATTCAATAATATGAGTGCATTAAAAAATATATAATTATAAAATTATTATATTGTATGTTTCATTCAAATATACTTCTACTGATTTAATTTTAATTTTATATTTATATTTGGATATCTATAGAATTAAAGTTTTACAAGGATAAAGTGTATCAAAGTATATCATTTATAAAAGGTATTATATTAATGTCATAAATATATTATTGAACACTTGGCATTTTATTTATTGTTTATTAAGCAGTTCAACTTACTTTTTTTTTATATTATAACAATTGAAAGATTCCTAAATAAGTAATGTTGAAATACAATTTTTTTTCTTTATTCTTAATATTTTATACTTATAAGTATTACACAAATAAGTTTTTAACCGAACAAATATTATTCTTACAATATTTTTGTTTTAAATTAAATCTTATTTAAGATGATTTTCAAAATAATAATATTGAAATAGTAAATTAAAATAACATTTATAGTTAATGATAAAAAAAAAATTATTTGTACTTAATTTTACATTATTAAATCATATTAGTTTTTATTACAAAAAAAATATAATATAATTCATGTGTTAATTGTAATTATTTTTAAACACCAATTATTGTAGATATTGAACTGCATATTGAATCAAAATATTTTATCAATTCAAATTACTATTCCTAACAAAGAAGTTTTATTTATACTTATTTATATATAAATAAGATTTATGTAGTTCTTGTAGAATATTTCTTAATTTATCATTTGTGAATTGAGTGGTCTAATTTTAATTCAAAATTAATTCAGAATATTACTTATATTTTCATTGCTTTGTATACCACTGTTGTATTATAATAAAGTAAATTATTTACTAAATTATTTTACATTTAAATAGTATAATCAGGGGTGGATTTAGGGTATGTAGGTCCCTAGGCTCCACTGTGGTATGGGCCTTACCAAAAGATTTTTAGGAAATATGAAGGGCATATGTTCAAATAGAGAGACTAAGCTCAAAATTGAAGGTGCTAATCTTGTCCCCCAAATTGTTTATGCTCTTACTAGAAAAATAGTTAAAAGTGTTTAAAATTGACCTACAGCTCTCGCCTCCAATCTAAAACACGTCTATGAGAAAGATCTTATAGCTTATGAATACTCTCCAAAAAGAACAATTAAATCTACCTCTTAACAATTTTAAATAATTTACTTTCTAAAATCAAGTTCAGTGCAATTTTCTAACTTTTAGTTTTTTCCTGAAAAAAATAATATTTAAAATATACTATTGAAGTCTAGAAAGTCTAGATTCAATTACCACATAGTAGTTAAGGTATTCAATACTATTGCTTTTGCTACATTAGTAATTAAATTAATAACATAATATATAATATAGTTTAATAAATAATAGTAACTAGGTTTAAAGGTTTAATTGATGTATAAAATTATTGTGATGAACATAATTGACTTTTTTAATCTCGGTAGCTATTAGAAATAATGTTATTAATTATGGTATAAAAATATAATTAAACATGCACATATTTTATTTTTAATATACCATAAAACAATCCAGATTTATTTCAAACATTAAAACACAAAGACAAGAACAATTACTTAAAAAATAAATATTTCATAATAGTTTATTTTTTCTTTAAAATTTAATTTAAAATCTTTATAGCTCATGAAATTAAGAAAAGTAATTAAAATTATTATCTTGTTAAATATAATTTTTATTTATTGTTATGTATGTAATCCGATTTTACTTTAAAATTATTAAAATTTAAAAAAAAAGGTATATCTATTATAATCTTATTTTATTTTTTAATTAATTTAGAGTTCTCTGAATCATTATATGATTCAATTAATTAATATAATTAATTTAATTAATATTTATATAATTATGAAATAATTTGTTATTTACAGTTAAGCAAGGAAATGCCTCCGATTATGAACATACTTAATGTTCATGAAAATTTAATTGAAGTATTATTAGAAATGCAATCATATGCCGATGTACAATCAGTGTTGGCTAAATACGACGATATAAATTTACCGAAATCAGCAGTCATCTGTTATACTTCTGCATTGTTGAAAATCCGTATTATCGCTGAAAAGTAATTATTTTATAAATTTTATCTTATCTATTTTTATTAAAAATGTCAGGAATGTATACTTTGTATAATGTGTTTTATTGAATTTAACAAGTAAATATTACAATATTTATAGTTAAGTTTAAAATTCAAAATTACTGATATGTTATTATTTAATAGTATTATACTGTTTTACTTTAATGCAAAAAATAATTATATTTAGTAAATATTCATACACCAATAACGAGTAAAATATATAGATATTATAGACATTTAAAATCACTATATTTTATATACGTTTTGTATTATTTTATATTATATTTATAAAAAAAAATAGTTCTTTGTTTATCATTATAATAATTATATTATATTGAAAATAATTTCAATATTACTTCCGTAGTATGTAATAATAAACTTTAAAATTACTGATATCATTCAAAGCTCTTCCAATACATTGTTGAACTGACAGCACTCAACACAACTAATCCTTAACTAATAAAAACAAACATAATAGTACTAGGGATGTAACTTGAAATAAAAGCTTATTTCTAGCTTTATAATTTTTAATTATTTAATTGATCAGATAAACAATAATATAGATGTTAGGCTAGTATTTATTATATTAAATATATTTTATTATATATTAAATAGTAATTAATATATTAAGTAAAATATTAACACCTGAAAATGTTTGCTTTATATTTATCTAAATGCTGTTGTTAAAATGTCTTAAATAAATATTTGATAATTATAGATATAACGGAGGAAATTCATTGAAAAAAGGACTTAATCAAGCGGAAGAAGTAGCACTTGAAGCTATCCACCGAGCTGTTGAATTTAATCCACATGTTCCAAAAGTATGATATGTTTTTATATTTAAATATTGTGTTCATTTATTAATTTTTTTATTATTTAATTTTATTATTATTAGTATGTACTTATAATATTATCTTTACTTTAGTTTATGTTGTTTTTTGTTTCATTGTATTAGAGTTAATAACATAATTACAACCTATTCTACATACATATATATATATATTTATTTATTTTTTATTAGTTTAACGAAAATATTATTAACTATTATCAAATGGAAAAATTATTATATATTAGCTTAAAATTATTAATATTTTCATATTGACATATAGTACTGATAAATTTAAAGCTTAAAAACTAAAAATACAAATAGTGCCAAATCCTGATGATTATATAATAACAACTTTTATTTTTAATTTTTCTTTTAAGTATTTATTGGAAATGAAATCGTACATCTTTCCTCCTGAACACATACTGAAAAGAGGAGATTCGGAAGCTGTGGCGTACGCATTTTTCCATTTAGCCCATTGGAAACGAATAAAAGGAGCTTTGACTGTGCTAAGTGTCACTTGGGAAAGTGCGTTCAACCAAATTCCATACCCTTTGGAAAAAGGATACTTATTCCATCCTTATCCAACATGCACAGAGTTAGCAGACAGAGAATTATTACCCAGTAATTAATTTAACAAAAATATACTATTTCTTAATATTTCTATTAATTATTTATGTAATTTATTTTTATAGATTATCATAAAGTTAGCGTATTTCCACAAAAAGATTTACCATTTTTCATTCACTTTACAGCCGGTCTAAGTTCCTTTACAGCATTACTTGCTTTACTCATATATCTCCATCCACAATTTACTGGCAGTCTTGTTTATATTGTAAGTTAATTTTATATGAAATTTATTATATATTTTAACTTTTAAGATTTTACAATCTTTTTTTTCAACATTATTTAATTATATATATTTTCTTTGATTATTACAGTTATGCATGTGGATTATTGTTCCAGTAAATTATTGTCTAGATCGTTTGGAGACAATGCTTCCAAACAATGTTATGGATATTCTCTCTAATATTTGATCTGATTTATCCTTCCATAGCTTATAATGTTTTTATTTTGACTGTAAATATGTATATTTAACAATGGAGAGCAAAACAATCCCAACTACATTTTTATGATAATTTTTGCCCTTTTTGTAAAATATAAGTTTTAAATTAATATTGAAACAAAACTAGTCAAACTGCGGTTCAGATCAAATCATCTCTTGGACAATTATTAGCTATGTACAAATTATAGTGAACTATTCAACAAATGAATATTTCTCTCTTAACATAATTTATAACTGTAAACTTAAGTAATGCCAGAGTATTTGTACTACTATTTTTAATTTAATTTATTTAAATAAAATCTGATAGTTATTTATTTTGTTAAAACCTTTTTCTCAGAATAAGGATGTATGATCTTTGTTAACATTGTATGTTTTATAACTCGAGGTATGTTACATATTTATTTAAAACCATTAATGAATAATTTACATATTACTAGAATGAATTTTCAAATATTCTTCTAAATCAAAGGAAAACTAATTTATTTATTACCTCATAAAACTTGTTGATAAAATAATAATTTGGCTATTTTTATCTATGATGTTCGACATGGACAAAGAATATATAGTGAATGTAGACATTAAAATTTACTTCAATAATTGATTTATTTATAATAATTTTATTATGATTTCATTATAACTTTTCAAATACCCAACTAAAAAAATGCACTGACTAATTAAATATAAAAGTTATTTACAATAATGATTTTAAATTCATATTATTTAAAATTTCACATTACACTATTTTACTTAGACTTACGTTTGTTAATCCTCATATTTGTTAAATTACATTTATATGTACTTATCTACTGTAAACTGGTCATTTTTTCTGAATCACAATCAAATCAAATTTCGGTTTGAAAGTTTCAAGTATTGAGTAAATTGTATATTAAATTTCATATTCATTTATTTTCTGTCCATATTCGTTTTTTTTTTTTTTTTAATAAATTAATGTATATCTAGACTTTAATTTTATTTAATTTTTCGAAATGATGTGGGTTATTCTAAGCAGTAAGAATTGCTAAATAGGTCTATATTCCTTAAATATCGATAAGAAATATTAGTTCTTTGACTTTTAAACATGATCAACAGTACAGTAACATCGATGTTAAGCAAAGGATATGAAAGTTAGAAGAAATGCTTGTTTCAATATTTTATAAAGTGTAAAAATCACAACATTTCCATACTACAGTGCATTAAGCATTATTGAATAAGCATCCCAGAATCATTGTTTGTGAGCAGTTCAAGTACTTAATTTTTAAGTTTTTGAAAACGAAATACAAAACAAGATTGATCAAAAAGACTAATATATTGATTTAAACTGGCTGTAAGTTATATAATAATTTGGTTATTTATTTGGCTAAATTAAATGACAAAAAAATAAAAATATAAATGTTGTAATAGCTCAAATAAACTATCCACAGTCAATGATAATAATCTTATTGTGCCGTATTCTCTTTAAACCTATAGATTATTTATGCTGTGAGCGATGGTATGATTATCACATTTTTTTTTTGAATTTTCAATAGGTAGCTATTTTATCTAAAAGATGACATAATACAATATTACATAAAATTGAATAATCAAAGTATTAATACAATTTATTAAAAAATTATAACTTATCATATAAATATGTATATAAATTATAATCGTACACTTAAAACATAATTTAATATAAATATTTAAATCAGGGACATATATTAATACTTCTGGCTTTTTCACCTATAGATACCAACCAATAATTATATTTTTTATTTATTTAGACTATCTGTTCATACAATGTCTATTATAGTTATAGTTTTAATAAAAAAATAAAAAAAATTAAGGAACTAAAAATAAATTATCATAGCATTATACAAATAATATTTTACTTGTAATTATTACTTACAAGATAATAATTATGATTAGGAAATTAATTGACAATATACATAAATTATGTAAAAATATTTTCTTATGTCATAAGAATACTAATCAAATTGTAACTATTAGTTTATAGAAATGAAATCAATTTTCAAAACTAATAATTTGTTAAAATACCACTACATACAATTTTATCAACAATTGGTTGCACCGTGTACTTGACAGATGTCTAAATCTGTTTAATATATGTCCGTGGTTCAAATTAAATTCCAAATAAAAATACTTTGTTTTTACAATATATAATAGAATTAGGTACCTAATCAAAATAACATTTTGTTTAAATGTTGATTTACAAATAAAAAATTAATTATAATAAAATTTGTTACATTTAAAATAAAAAGCACCATAGAATCTTAGTGAAAAATATTTAACTAGTATGACTATAAGCTGTATTTGTGTATGGGCCACTGTAAACGGAACTTCCACTAGAAGAAACCGATTTTTTGTGTCTTCTCATTAATAATATTAGAGCTGTTATCACAGTTAACAGCATCAATATAAGTCCAGCTATAGCAATACTGATGGCGAAATTTCGTTGTGAAATGCAAATATTATACGGGTCATCCATAACCTATAACAAAAAAATATTATTTTTAATTCTATCATATCCATAACATACATTAAATGTCAAAATCAAAAATGAGCATGTAATATCCATCAAATTCGAAAGTATTACAATTCATGTACATTTTTTTTTTTTTTTTAATGTATTATAATAATCATTTAACTATACAGAAATGATTGACATGAAGTAGAATTTGTATATTATTTCCAATCATTAAATTATATTATTATTCATTAGATGATTATTTTATATTATTGCTTTTTCTTCCAACTATATGGAGTTAGCTACATTTTTTCTAAGCCTCTAATAAATCTAAGTTAAATCAAAAGCCCATGAAGTTATAATTTTAAAATTATTTAAATCCATTAATTTAGGAATATAAATTCAATAAAAGAATTGCATTAACAATTGTTTATTAGTATAAATATTAAATACATTAATTTTAAAAAGAATATTCAGTACCTTCTCTCTTGATACTTGATCCATTTGTTCGGGATTGCCTGAATCTGCACCTTCGTTAACATATAAACCGCTGTATACTTCTATTGTTGCAGGACTCTCATCTTCTAATGTTTGGTCTTCACGACGAAAACGTTTTTTACTACTACAATTTGGTGGCTATATACAAAATAAAAATAAGAATATATTCTTCATTATTAATATTGAATAATTAAAATAAATTTACCGTATTTGCACAACCATTATTAGCTTTCAAACATAAATGAACATGGCATTGATAATAAACAGATGTAGTGTAGGGAAACTTATGAGCTTGAAAATTAACAACTGCTGTTGTCTTATTAGCACTGTATTCAAATTGTCCCATTATATCATCTTCAATGGAACATCTAAAATTAAAAAAAAAAAAAAAATCGAAATCTATATTATTAATGATGCTTCAACATAATTATTAATGTATATTAATATTGAAATTAATAGTTGAATGCATTAATGAGTATAGATATCTTATTAACAAAATAAATATTTATATTTTTGTAGCAACTTACCCAGATTTATCAATAAGTCGTTGATCACCCCAGCCCAAACCATCACGAACTAAACAATCTGTAATAAACAAACCAAAAACGTCTTCACTGTTTATAGATATGACCATTGTCAAAGGATCTCCGATTTTCACATTTTCAGCTACATCTTGTTTTACAGTTTTCCCAGAGAATATTTTCATTGTACATGTTGGCATCTTGGAAGTTTCAATCATTGCTGCTTCATCAGTTGTGCTACAGAAGTATAAAAATCATACAATTTTCAAGAATATTAACCTACATAAATAAAATGCATATTTATATATTGAGTTTTAGGAAACAGAATTTTAATTTTCCTATTTTTTTATCGTAAAATTCTATATGCCATGTTGGCAATTTAAATGTTATTAACTCTAAAAAAATATTATTATAAATATTATTATTATTAATATCTAAATTATTATCTAACCTAATTTAATTATAAGCGGATTAACAAATTGAAAGAATAAAGATGAAAATAGAAACAATTATTACTCACCTCATATTCAACACATTAGTTAACAACTGATCATTTGTTTGATACTTGCAACGAATGTGAAAACCTTTACCCTGGTTCGTTACCAATTTCCTATGCGGTTGTAGAACTATTGTATTGAAGTATTCTACCATACCGTCATTCTAGAATATTTATTAAGATTTAAAAAAAATTTATATCTACTTAATTTACCATACATAATAGAGGACAATTTGTTGTATGAGAAGGTTTTAAAGGCCGCAATCTCCCCCCCCCCCAAAAAAAAAAATTACCATACATTTTTACTTACTAAATATGTACTCATTGTGTTACAAGACCTTAATGGAAGTTTATAAACTATTGGATTCCTTTCATAATTAAACTCGGCCATGCAGCTTGAATTTTTTGATAAATCTTTTGGATAAATTATTCCAGTGAAAGATTTTGATTTAGTATCAATAGTCACACTTATTTCCTTATTATTGCATTCTATTGTTATATCTTTTGACATATCATTTAAATCTAGTTTAAATGAAATGATAAAATATAAATTATTTATTGATTATAATTATTTGTAAATAATTAAAATATATACCTCCTAATAAAGCATCATTAGACATAAAATTATCAGCTTGAATACAGCTAAATGCCAACTAAAATAAAAAATAAATATAATATAATATAATTAATAATAAATTATTTGTGTCTATTAATAAACATAATTTATCAGAAGATTTTAAGAAATAATTAAATAGTAGAATATTATCAGAGTAGGTTTTTGAACCATGTTGCATGTCTTTATAAACAATTTAAACTGTAAATGTATATGTTAATGTTAAAAAATAAAACTTGTATAAAATGAGATTTTAATTATATTATTTTGAATATATACTTACAGCACATAAAATAATGCTTTTTAATCCCATCATATTGCTCTGAAAAATAAAATAGATTAAATTGATATAATAGAATAATTTTACGGTCAAAATTAATTTTGTAAACAACAAATGTAAATAAAGAGTTATCAGAATTTTAATAGGGCCTAATGATTACTCTTTACATTATTAATTATAAATATTTATTATATACCTAATTTTAATTAGAAACACAATCCTCAAGAAAAAGAAAAGAATATGAAACCAGATTTTTTGAGGAAAAAACAAATATATTACTGTCTAAAATAATGAAACATTTACTAAATTGAAACAGGATACAAAATATAAAAAATAAAAAGGCACATTAAATATTATGAGTATCTTGTTTAAAGATAATTAATGAAGACTTCAAAATGGTTCTGTATAAAAGTTAAGTTATATACTCATAAAATATCCAAGTAAAAGTTCATATTATGAAATATCCAATTTTAATCAAAGTTCAGAGATATTTATCATTGTGTTGTATTTTGAAATGAAACAACATTTTTTGAGATAATATATTATTGTTTAGGTCCAAATAATATCCTACATAAGGCATGACAAATGACAGGAGTAAGTATATTATTTAGAAATCAAATTTTTAAAATTACCTGGATCATTTAACTATTTTGATTACTTAATTTGTTAATAGTCAATTTGCAATATAAATTCAGCATATGTAATAGGCAGTTGCTAACATTAATTTTTTTTTTGTGGAATTGTGATAGCCCAATCTTGTAGGAGTGGATCTACGTGTATTGTGCATACACAATGAGTATACCAATCAAGAAGAAAATATTAGATATAAGTAATTTAATATTTCAATGAGCAAAAACGTATAGTTCTGTTTATTTATTTGAAGTGTTCCTGAAATATGCAATATTTCACCCAAGAACCTAACGGGTATGGACGAAGTACAGGTCATAACCGCGAAAAAATTATAGCGATGGTCAGGATCGTTTTAGTAAACGATTTTTAGTAAAAATTTTTAGTAAGGAGGAGATGAGAGGTGTCTACATCCCTTGAGGAACTCCTGGGAGAGCGCAAAAACGAAAAATTTGAATTTCATGTTAAAAATGTAAACGGTCAATGTTGAAAATTTTATTTAAAAAATACTTCGAGAAAAACGTCCTTTAAATTGCCTGAAGTAAATGTGAAAAATGATATAAAATCATTAAAATGTTTTTAAATTAAAAATACATAAGAGTGCATTTAGAAGTTTCACCCAAGGCGCAATATTTGGTTGCTACGGTACTGGCGACGATAAAAACAGCAACGTAAAAGTCGCGATAGCAATAAGAACGGCACACCAAATACAGCGATTTCTGGATTGCAACATGTTACATTGACCAATGGGACAACGGATGAGATTGCATGAGACGTGAAACACATATTTTTTAGGTTCACTTCATTTAAAATTCAAGAAATTTATTGATGGATTAAAAAACGAACCAAATTTTCAAGAATTAAAGTATAAGTATGAGCAAATCATTTGTGAGCAACAATCACACGATAAAAATAAATAAATATATTTATAAAGAAAAAAAAAATTAAAAAAAATAGAAGATGTAGTAAATAAATATAGACACTTATGACACCGTAACTTTTATAAAAGGCGTAGCTCATAACATTAATTTGCAAGTATTCAACGAAGCCTAGGTACTTATATTATTTTATTATTAATTATCATTACCAACATTTCAACTATCTAACTAATTTTTGTCTTTACTCTAAATACAATAAACTGCAAAGATAAATTGTAAGCTGTAACAGTCGTAGAACTATAACTGTGCATGTTTTAAGTTTTTAGGCTACATTTATAATCGCTATAAAGTACGTTCGCTCGTTTTGTTCTCTATGACGGTCGCTGTAATTGTTTCGCGATTTCCACAGGTTACCGACCTAACGTTCACAACGCGACCCCAACATCCGATTTCCAATTCAAACGCCCGGATGACTGCGCAAACTTGTACGCAACGTGTGCATCTCGCGATCCCGTTATACAGAGCTGTGCCGATCGTCAACCGGAACCAACGGCGACGGGGAAAGACGCGCGCGTACATATAACGGGTTACCAACGCGTTTCCCGGGAAACCCGGCCGCCCACGAGCGGCAACAGCGCGACGAGCGGGGGCGCGCAACCCTAACCGAGACGTGGCCCTCGTCGGGTCACCGTTGTTGCCAAAGGGTAGTACATACAAGGGTATATGTGACAGCGTTTGAATAATACTCACGGCGAGGGTGGCCTGGACGACGAGCACCGGTGGTCGCGGACGGGAATCGACGGCAGCCGCTACGGGTCTGTGCAGCACGTCGTGAAACGCGTTCGACGGTTCGTCGAGTAGATCGGACCGACGTTGCGCAACACGGTCGACTGGATCGCGTACAAGACTACGCGGCCGACACAATGGCGGTAGTGCGTGCGTGCGTGTGCGTGTGCGTGGCGCGCGCGCGCGCGCGTGTGTGTGTGTGTTCGCGCAGCGGAGGTGTAAACGCTCCCACTACGGTCTCTCCGGAACGACGCGGCGAAGAGAACCGGTCCGCTGACGCGACAGCACCGCGGCAGCCTTCGCGACCGTCCGCCCACTCTTTTCACTCTTTCCTACCGCCGCCGAAGCCACCTGCCGCAGCGATGGTTAAGTTACGTGTACAGGGTACGCGTACGCGTGCGCCGAGCTCGGACGGAAAATGCCGCGACTCTACGCAGCACCCTGTATGCGCGCGTTCCGAACGAAGCGTGTACCTGGTCCCGTCGCGCACACCGCCTCCGCGCGAGACGAGGCCGACGGTCAACGCGCCATATTCGGAAGCGGTTCCTGCTCGCACAGTCATGGGTACACGCTAGGAAACGCGTTCGAATCGTTGCGCAATACGTGTTGCGCAATTACCGCAGGTACGCGCATAACACCCGGGACACACCTGTACCCGTGCAGAACGGGCAATAGTGTCGGTATTGTCACATAGGTATTGTCGACACATTTGGACGGGTTGGTGTACCCGAATTCGGTTCTCGAGTTCCGACCGCGCCGGTTCGATAGCAGCACCAGTTACTTGCGACTTACACGAGCGAGACAAGTCACTACCGCGAAACAATAGTGCCTACCGGCTGCAGTAAAGGACACCTATGATGTATAGACATAATTCAAATCCTATCCAACATCAATGCCAATTGTTATTATCGCCTACGTATAGTACGATATACGTACACACTTGTATAATAAGTATCAAATGTTTTCGGTCGACTAAAACTTTGCAACATGGTTATTGCTAAGTCTTGCGATTAAGGTCGAGCCGATCGATGCGTGTGAAAAAAAAGTATTTGGAAGGATGCACGCGTGTCTACAGATAGTAGATTACTGGCTAATTCCAAATTATTTAATATTACAGTATTGTATTAGGCAGTAAATTGAAAATACGTGTTACACGTTTTTCAAATCAATCACTTCATTCGCAACACCGAACATTTCTATATGCTCCTGAGGTAAAAGTAAATTTAAAAAAAATCTTAAAAAATGTAGTGTAGATTACACTGATAAATAGGGCTAGGATTTATATGCATTTACATGGTTTTTTCCTTAAGTCCAAATTGATTGGTTGCCAGTATGTTCACGATTTGGCTTATTGTAGATTACATAGAACCATTTTTTTCTCCATATTATGTATAGATATTTGAGAATCTTTTTAAGACTTAAACTTGAATTTTTAAATTTTTATAATATTGTAAATTTTAAATAATATTTATTTAATGAACGTTTATTTTTCGAATTTTCGTTAATATACTACATATCTAAACTTATCTTGGTCGGACGACCTGTATAATTATTTAACAAAGTACTTATTAAAGGTCTGCACGTAATAAAAATGTTAGGTCCGACCCGGTCCGGATTTTCTGCTGACGTATAAGGTCCGTTTCACAGCATTTCACGTATAGTCCGTGACGTTTTCGAATTACATTGTTTAAGTTCATACGCGCCGAACTGACGAGGGCGCGTATGGGTTTTTGCGATCGGCGCGTAGGAACTTAGACAATGTAAGCCGAAAAATGCCGAGTATAAACGTTCGGCTATGAACGGGCCTAAAGCCTTAGAAATATTTTTCTAAGCCCGGTTCGGTCTGATATTGTTATTGGAGAATAAAAGCCTGGTTTTGTAAAACCGGACTCGGTTCTAATAAATGTTTTATCACTAAAATTGAATTTTTGTACAAGTTTTTTACATTCTAGCCCAAACCGAAATAGATTTAAAAATTTAAAAGTCCTGCCCGGAATCCGTGTCTCGTTTAAAAAAAGGTTGTATTTAAATTTTATGGGCCTGGCCCATGCAGGTATCTAGTACATATATTTTGAGATAGTACAAAAGTATTTCATTTAATTATTACAACTACTTATATTAGTATAAACTAATATTTAATGTAATAATAACAAGTTATAATAAATAATAAAAATTTGTTTTCGTATATTTTTGCAAATGTTGGTAAATAAAATGTATGTTGTGTAATTGTTTATTGTATATAAATCTCAGCCCTTCAAATAAACAACTAAAATTATGAAATAGATATTCTATGAATTTTAAACATTACATAGACAATAATGAAAAATAATAAACTATATTCAATAATTTGCATAAAATAAATATAATTTTATTTTTTATTCCAGATTCCTAGATACGTATCTAATCCTGTATTTATTTGTACTAATTTGTGTAATTACATACAATATTTTTTATTTTTATAACGGTTTTTTTTTATTTTTTTCGTAACCTAGAAAATTACCTACTTTATAAAAATAATATACTTTGAGTAGCAATGTAATATCATAAAAATATTTATTCCATAATATGCATAATTCGTATAAGGTATAAGTTTTTCTTCATTCTAGAGGGGCATCGCTCTTATGCCCCTCTCCCCTCGGATTCATACCTTCTGTAAGCACAATAACCTTGCGTACATATAACTGTACCTACACAAACAACATCGATTGAATAAGGTACCTATTATACCTACACATCCGATTATTACAGCAACGATGACGCATTATATACATATGCGTAACTGACCGCAAGACTGTATATACTATTTACTGTCAATATTATTGCCAAAATAATGCTCTTAAATGGAAAGTCCGATGATTTAATAGCCAATAATTGATTAAGGATACCAAACCATAGGTATCTTAAATACATTTTTTCATATCCAATTCACATTATTACAGAAAAAATAAATATAGGAATGTAATAAATATAAATTAATAAAAATAAAAACTTCTTAAAGAATTAAATTTAAACACTCTAATTTCATTTATTAGATAAACCAGACAATAAAGACAAAAAAAGTTAGGTTTACTATAGTAAAAATTAAAAATTATAATTTGTATGGATACTTTTTATAGATACTTCCGAACTAAATGATTATTATAACTAATTACTTTATATTGTGTTCTGAAACAGTGGTGTACCGATAGGGTGACATGACAGGAAATGAGTTACAGGCCCATCAGAAATGTTGAGAATCCAGAAAACAGATCACCATTATTAGAACATTTAAAAATACCTTGATCTTTAGAACAAACTATGTTCTAGTAAAATTAAATTACGTTCGTCGGCGCGGAGCATCTGCGATATTATTATGTATAAATATAATTTTGAAAGAGAAATAATAAGGAAACGCACTTAAAACGTTATACTTAGAGCGGTATAACCTCTAGTCAAGAAAACCGTATGATGACTACTATTTTGCGATTACTGTTATAATAATATATATAACCTAACATTACTTTCAATCAAACAAGAAGCAGGTCGAGAGGTTAACTTCGAAAATGAAATCGATAAGCTTTCTGAAGCAAATGTGAGAAAGACATTTTTTTATAAAAGTGATAGAACATTTCTTAAGATATAAATTAAATATTTTAAATTTTGTTATTGCCTCGTTTATATTAATCTAACTAAAAAAAAAAAAAAAAAAAAATTAGATACAAATAATGTATAATAAAAATTAATATTAATAATTGTACATTAAATATGATTTTAATTATTTATTTTCTATTAGCAGAGACGAATCTTTATAAGACTTATTCATACTCGATTATTTTGCCACGAGCAATCGAAGTTCTAATTACGCTACTATTTTGAAATAAATTGATTAGTATATTATATACGAGATATATACATAAATATGTTGTGTGCATATTATTTCTCAATATATCTTTACTTCATCGTTTAATTAAGTACTTATCAGTGTATGTTTTTATTTTTTTACGAATTCTAACTTTTTAATTTGTAAAGTATCACCCAATTTTGAAAGCACTGCATCGCAAAGAATCGCCCAAGTCATCCAACACTCATTAAGGTCCTGTAATATTAATAATAAACTATTGTCTTATATTATATTTTAATGAGTGAATCGAATTTTTATCTAATATAATTGTTAAGTAAGATTAAATGAAAAAGACTTTAATGCTATGCATCAATTATAAATATGAATTATATAATACTAAATTATTCTTAGTATCTAGTTGGTATATTTAATACAATAGAATTGGTAGTTATTTATTAATTAATTATATATTAATAGTAAATAATTTATTCATTGACTTGAATTATAAAATAATATTTTGTTTTCTTTCTTGATTCGTATATTTTAAATCTTTGACAGATAAATTACAATTTATGTAGGTAGTCAATAAGTACTAATATAATATGTATAAGTATCATTTATATGCATAGGTATAATTATGTATGTATATTTTATATAGTTATAGGAATACATACTTTCCTTTCGTTTGAAAAATATATTTAAATTGATTTAACTACCTATCAAAATAAGAATATACAAATAATGTAATTTAAAAGTTTCACTTTTATAAATTTACTGTAAAGAATTATATTATACAATTTCAATTTTTTAATTTGAACATTTTTTTTTTCCACTTCAGCTATTCTTATATAGTTGTATATGTGGATGGATTGAATTTCACCTTGAAGTAGATTCATTGTAATAAATTTGTACTTATGCTTTCACTCAGTACATTTATTCGTTACACTGTTAATATTAATAATTTACAAATTTTAAAGCAGAATAAACTGACTAAAAAACATTGAATAATAATAATAATAACAAATAATGATTAAATATTATACTATACTTATAATATTTTTAAATAATAGACAGATGTGAATTGAAGTTCCTTTGAATTATTGAAGGTAAATATTTTGAAGTACAATCTTTGACCTTCAGTATACTTTTCATGGTTCGTTTACATCCAATATAATAAACTGTATTATAATATTAATTGGAAATTAATCATTTTTTACGAATCCCTTAATGTATCATTTTTAAAGATTAAATAAAATTGTTACAAGGTATTTAAAAATTATTTCTTAAATAAATCTATTTTAATGTTATTAGGAATCGGTTTAAATTATGATGGAAAAATAAAAAATATGAATTAATTATAATATATTATAT